GCCTTATTTGGAACAGCCATACTTCTCACCGAGTTCACCGAAAACCTCCAACATGTCAACCCTTCCAGTCACAGTATGCTCATCAGCTCCATACTCCTTAGCGATTAATCCACCCGGTAGTGACGATTCTATCATTTCCATAAAGTCTGCAATGCAATTCTCAGGGAGAATCTGTCTGAAGAAAGCCTCTAAATCCTCACCTTGCGCAAGTTTGAGCTCAACCTTGTTGCCAGTGATTTCCTCAAACATGTCTCTCATATCGGTTGAACTGTAGGCACGGGGGCCAAAGATCTTGAGGACTTGCGGACTGGGATTTTCGAGATTGTTGAGCAAGTTATTGGCACAAACTTCGCCAACGTCTTTGAGACTGACGATCGGGATCTTGAAATGTCTTGGAGCGATCCATGATGAGATTGTTGGTGGATCTGCCAAAGGCATTTGAAACATGTACTCAAACTCTTCTTGGAAATGAGTTGACTGTAAAATAGTCACTTCAGGCACAGAGTCTTTGAGAATCTTGTCGGTGTGATGATTTAAGCGGACAAAGCCCTACATCGTCAGTATCGACAAGGTTGGCGACTTGGTTACTATTACTTACGATACCATGGTCATTATGAGACCCCAGACCAGACAGAACAACCAGTCTCTTGACGTCTGATTTCTTCAAGGCACGTTTGACATTGTTTGCCGTTTGCTTGGCCCATTCTCCTTGGTCGATGTTCTCATAAGTCGGCGGCGGGACATACAGAACGGCATTAGAGTTCTCGAAATTGAAACTTTCCTCAGACGCAACATCGCCTTTGACTGCATTGAAGTTTGGATGGCTTGTGTACTCATCTGGTGCCTTAGAAGTATCGCGATAGATGCCACGGATAGTAGGATTGGCTGGAGAGGCCAGAAGTAAGCGAATGGCCTCTTTTCCAACTTTTGTCGAGGCAGGAAGAACAGTTATGTGAGTGAACATCATGGAGACCGGTCAAGTGCTGTGATTGACTCCATGCTTAAGATTGTTGAGCTGGCTCACGTATATTTATACGTCCCGAGGCCCGCATCAATACGGACACCGAGACATTAAAATAAACGCATACCAATACATTTGCTAAATTTATCTATTCATCCAAAAGCCGTGGCACCTCAAGAGGCTTGGCACCATTGGGATCGGGCAAGCGCACTTAGTCAGTACATACGCTCCGCCAATTTACGGAGGTCATGAAGAGGATGGCCACGTTGCCAATGCTTGCTCAATATCCAAGTTTTCTGTGTCGATTTAAGGTCTCAGGCATAAGTCCTAACCGCGACTTGCTCAATAATACCCTTCGTTCTTTCTGGGGGCGGACCTCGGGTAACGGACGTGGCATATTACTATCTAAGCTCTCGCACAAAGCTGACACGCAATGCATATTTTTGGCCGAAGTCATGAGTGCAAGAATCGATGCACACTCAAGTCAGCCGCCAGATGTGAGGCTTGTGACCCCTCATTGACACGACCATATCATCAGCATACGACATATAGGGGTATTCATGTTCATCACAGGGATCGGAAAAACTCTTTCGTATAAGAGGGCCGTTCTGCATTTATCTTTCACTAGGCTGGCCACGAGTCCTTTGCCTCGTCGCCGCCGCCGACCAGCTCGTCGAGAAGAGCATCAAGATCTACCAAACCTGCAAAAGGTTACAACAGATCTTGTCACTTACCGGAAATTATGTGCAATGAAATCCCCAGCCTTCGAAATACCATTAGAAGATTTCATGGCACGCCTGTTCTGAGATCGAGAGCTTGAAATTTACTACAGTGCAATGCAGTGCATACCTGTTGGCGACTCGTCCTTTTAGAAGCTTTGTAGGGGGTTAAGAAGAAGAGAAAAGAGGGTATGACTTCCGCTGTGGATACTTTACTATGAGAAAAAATATTTATTCAACAAAAGAAGAAACTAGGCTAAGCTCGAGCTGAGCAGAGACTTTTAAGAACGTAGCAAAGGTTTAGCGTTATGTATGCTCGTCGTCTCTCGCCTTACTGAGCGGCCGACATCAACCGCTGATAGATCATTGTAGCATTGCCGCTTAGAAGCCTCTCACAATAGGCTTCCGGGGTGGTCACTTTCATGTCGGGATAGATTTCCGTTGCATCTACATATCCCAAGTAACGAGCGTACTCTGGGGTATTATACCCACGAATTCCGAGTGCGTTGAAGTATTGATACTTCACTACCTCAAAGTAGTCGAACGAGTCCGGAGACGGGCAATCAACCTCTGCTCTAGCCACTCCCTCCATGACCGCGGCCTCCGAGATCTACAAACCCAAATCTGATTAGCACAGTGCATCTTTCTGGCTCCTCGATTTAGACTAGATCAGTAACTTACGTAGCTGCGTTCAGTCTTCTCGCCACTGGCCTTTTCCAACATATCGTATGCTTGGTTCATTGTCAGAACTGTGTTGTAAGCGAAGACCATCTTGTTCATAGTTCGAGGATCAGCAATAATGCGAGCGACCCATCTTCCAACATCCGGCAGATCTGTAAAGGCAGAGGGGGTATTTCCGTCACCTGGAATGCACCCCAAGGTGATTGGTAGGGCATAGTCAATACGGCCGGAGGGCAAGCGAGGTAGCATCAACTGATACCAGTAGCCGACATCGACAATAGTGTAAGGAAGTTTGACTTTCTTGACGTGATTGATCACCTGCTCTTTCTTTCTCATCTGTCAGTAGTAGCAGCAATATAATAATTGGGTGACATACAATATCCCTCAACTTTAAAATACCTGCTGGGGGCATAATCAGGGCGAAACAGCAAGGCAAGAAGCGCTTGACACCTGCGGCTTGAGCGGCATTGATGAGCGGAATTTGCGCCAGGAGGCCGGTAGCACTGATGGCTGAAATAAGGGTGTCTATCCCATCGAGGACTCGCGCGAGCTCATCCTCAGGACCACTTAGATCCGCAGCTACAACGTTAATTCCCTTCTCCTTGAGAGCAATTACCTCAGGTTTCTCCATTGAGGATGGACGGACTAGCGCAGTAATCTCCTGAAGTATCAGGAAAGTTAATAAGATTATGACGCCAAGAATAAAACCTGACGTACATATCGCGGCTCCGTAGACTCGAGGAGGGCGTTCAAGATTGAAGCGCCCGTCTCACCAGTGGCACCGAGGATCGCAACCTTCATCTTGCTGAGAAATTCTGAGCTTTGCACTGAGAATTCTTCCTGTTGTGCTAGAGCGAATGTGCCAATGTTGCGACAGTTGATGGATATGAGGTTCTTCGAGGTCAGACCATCTTAAATACGCGAAAACTAGGCTAAGTGCTCGCAACTGCGGAGTGCGGAGTGCGGACTATTGTATCCTAGCAATGCGCGTTAGCAACTTGGCAACCGAAAGTTTAATGTTATGGCCAGCAAATAGCCGTATACATAGATGTCTAGACAGTGGACTGTGCGGCCGAGAGGATTGCGGACTTCAGAGTATGGAGCGGAGTTTGGAAGCCACTACAGTCCATTGCATAAGAGTCAAGCATCAAATGGGAAAACGCTAAACTATGATACTAAGTAATAGACCTTCATGAGAAGGATAATCAAAAAGTCGGTCGGACGACCTGCGAAGGACTCGCTAAGTTCTAAGTTCTCTGTGTTGATCTAAGCTCTCAGCCACGGATCTCAACTGCACCAACACAACACACCTGGCTTACAAATTGAAGATTACGACTGCAAGTGGCTTGCAACCATTTAATATGGGATTGTCTCATTAAGGCTGCCATAGATACTCTACCAACAGAAGTGGATTCGCTTGAAAGAGTAAGTTGCTAAGCAGGCCTGGGGCTTGGTTATAAACACGCCCGACAACCTCGGTAATGCCATCTTCCACGATAGAAACTACGATTTGATTCAGTGTTTCGAGAAATAGAAATGTTAGATCTCAAAATGAACTGGGATGATAGGAACTGTCCAGGCCAAGGCGTTCCCAACACATAGCAACTTCTATTGGCCGACGAATCATGTCCTTTTGTCTTCATCATTCACAATCAGGTATCGATACCTTCGAGTTCAGAAGTCACTTACTTATAGATGTATTCTCTCCTACATAACTTGATCTTGTCATCTTTGGGAAACGAGGGCCAGTTGGTATGTGACCGCGTCTAGATTTTGGGGCGGATTGTACCTGGCAGATAAAGAAAGAAGGACAGCGATTTGAGTTGTGGCGAGTCATTTTGAGTCAATTCGTGAGCAAGAAATTGTCAACAAGTCTTTAATCCATTTTGAGGAGTCAATTGAACTGATGAAGGAAGTATGTAACTCAATCTCTCAATCCTGACGTGCAGTTGATCAATGCAACCTTCCAAGACCATCAAATCTCGTTATTAAGATATCGCAAGCCCATTGAACCGAAGTCTTGGCGCACCGAGAGATCAGGGACTAATAATTTAGTACAGGGAAGTGGTGCTATTGGTATGGTAAGAGATGACGACGCCGCCGAGACCCCATTTTCTTGGGTCTGACGAGCATGTGGCTTGGCATAACAAGGTTTGTATCTAACGGAGAAGCCACAACTCTATACTGCGTAGCTACCAATGGGTCCATCAAGCCTAAGGGAGGCTTAGCCTAGGTCGGCCCAGCCATGACATCTGCCAACGCTCTGCGCCTTCCGGGTCACGGTTTGGAGCTGAAGTGGCGTCATACGGAAACTATCGATGAATCCAAGTTTATCCCCCTTCAACTCACTGAGGGTTGCATTGCCGAGATGGAGATGTCATACATGGCATTGAAGACTATATATACTGCCTCCAATTCCCTTCATCGCAATTCATTATCATCATCATCAATAACAAACCACTAAATACTACAACCCAAACTCTTCGGATACTCTCTACCAGATACCTAATCAACAAACTCTAAGCACATCCGAGATCGGCAGTAGCTGCAACGAATTATCTCCAGAGCAATTCAGCAACAAACTCAATCAGCACAAAACCTACAACTCAAACCACTTCAATCACATATCTACAATCACAATGTGTCTCCCTTTCGGAAGAAGCCAACACCGCTATAGCTCTGGCGGCGGTGGAATGATGGGTCCTCGCCCTGTCAAGGTAGTTCACCACCATCACCACGGCGGAGGTCGCATGGGTGGAGGCATGGGAGGTGGTCGCATGGGAGGCGGCGGTATGATGGGAGGAATGGGAGGCGGACGACGCATGGGTGGAGGTATGGGAGGCATGATGGGCGGCGGTAGAAGAATGGGGGGACGGCGATGCTAGGAGCAAAAACAACGATGGAGACGGGCTGGATGTCGAGGCCAGGCACAGCGACAACGATGGAGGGGACGGACGGGTTAGACCTCCACGTCCATGCCCGCCACAGAGACAACCATTGGGTCCCCCTGTCTATTGATCCCGGGTGCAACAACAACAATACAGACGGGGATAGCGTCCACGCCATGCGCAGCAACAACAATTGAGATGCCGTGGCCAGGTGCAGCACCAATGATTGAGAATTTGACACAGCCTGGAGGCCGATGTTAGAAGATTAATCCCTGTATTATTAGAGCGACGGTATGAATAAACGACTAAGATAAAACTTTCATGCGAAATAGAGGTATCCCTTCAACTGTACTGTTGAGAAATCCATTATCATGCTTGCCGCCCTCGAAAAGGATCAAGTGATGAAATTGAGTAGAGTATTACTTGGAGAAATGCCATTACAATTCGACACTGGTCACCAAATCACCACTGTCTCTCCCAGTGCATAAGTCACAACCTTAGAACTTCAATTCCCCTCTTCGTGTTCGTCTTTGCATCCAATCCTCCGCCGGCACTTGCTGCGTAGCACAATGAATTCCTCCACCGAGCTTAGGAAGAATGCTCAAATCAACCTGAACAATTTCCCGATCTGGGAAGTGCTGGCGGAACAAGGCGTAAGCATCATCATCCAGCTTTCCAATTCCAAAGCGCGGCATGATCAGGCCTCCGTTGGGGAGGTAGTAGTTGGCGTATGAAGCAACAGTGACATCGAAATGATCCCAATTCTCGCCGGGGAGGTCACTTGGATGAGGCTCTTCGACTTCAAAGATTTCCAATTGTCTTCCTTGATGATCTGTTCCGTTTCTCAAAGTTTCCTTGGCTTCTTTGTAGGCTTGGATTACCCGCGGATCAGCACGTTCAGAAGGTCTGCTCAGAAGAACCTTGCCCGGTTTGATGAACCTCGCAAATGCATCGATATGAAAGTCAGTGATATCATAGCCTTTGACGCCGGCAAGCCAGATCACTTTGAAGATTCCAAAGTATTTCTGGAATAATCCTTCCAGTTCTTCCTTCGATCTGCCCGGATTGCGGTTCTCATTGATGATGGAGCTTTCAGTCGCCAGAAGGGCTCCATCTCCATCGACCTCAATCGCGGCCCCTTCAGCAGTGAAACCGGCGTCAATGATAGGTATGGCATTTCCCTGAGGCACACTTGCGTCTTTTTCATCCTTATGGTCTATGACTGAAGCTTCTGGAATCTGGATATTCGCAGCAACCGCTTCATCACCAGTGGATGGTATCTTGGCTCCCCAATAATTGAAATTCAGTTTGAGCCCAGTAGAGCAGCCATTTTGCGTTCCATGAACAAAGACCGGTCCTGTATCGCGGATCCAAAGCTCGCTCACAGCCAGTGGTCGCACGGTGACATTATCAGACACTGTTTCAGATGCTTCATGAACGTCTTCCGGGCGGGCAAACATTGTGACCGGCTCGAAGCGGGAGATGGCATTGGAAAGAGCCGAGACTTCCGCGCGCGCCTGTCGAAGGCTATTTTCCTCGACAATAGAGGCGGGAGATGGCCATGCAGTTAGCGTCTGGGAGTGCTTCTGCCATTCCGGCGGCATGCGATACCTCCCAGAAATTCTCTGCGTCTGGCCTGGATCCATGAAACTCTTGATTCGAGACTTGATGGATCTTCGAAAGGTTGTGAACATGAGAGTAGAGCGTTCTTGTGTCTGTCGTTCACGTGTCGAGGGGCTGAGTTATGGGAGGAGTCAGGCTTTTCTTTATGTATTTTTTTGAGTTGGAATATGGGACCTGAAACTCCACCGAGCTTTATCAGAACATTAATAACGTTGCAGAACTTTTGTTTCGATACGGTCACATCATGAAGGCTGTACTGGTGTACGCCCCGACGGGAGGACTTTAGGACTCATGGAGAGGTTTAGCAGTGTCACGTGATATCGCCCAGGATCTGGTAACACGTCGCGTAACCTTAGCTTCGGCTTATACTCCTTTCATCTCCTGCCTTCGATGCTCCCGCCATTGCCCCCGAAAATCTTCTCCCCGTCGTCTGATCATGTCCACTCGGAGGAGCGCCAGGCTCCATGCTTTGCAGGACCGGGCGCCTACAAGTGCCCAAGATGATTCCGGTCCTGGCATGCCTAGCCAAACAGGCAAGCGTAAAGGAACAGTGAGCGAGTTGCACGAAAAGCCCCTCGTCATCAGCAATGCGAAAAGACGCGTCGCCAACGATGATGGGAGGCTAGCTACAAAGAAGGCCAGGGCAGGAACTAGTCGTAACAAGGCTGAAGAAATGTCCGAGAAGTCACCGACGAGTACAACAACTGATCTTCTTTGGTCATGTCCACGAGAGATTCTGAACTTGATTTTGGACCATGTGAGATAAACGCCATCTACTACCAAGTTAGCGCAGTGCTGAACGCAGCCAGATCGAGGATACTAGAACGCTCGGGAGACTTAGCTGCACAAGCAAGAGTTACTTTGCCATGGTTGTACCTCGACTCTACGAACACATCGATGTCTCTGTAGCCTATCATGCTCATATTCCCAAGTTAATCCGAACTCTTGAGCCTTTTCTGTCTATTAATCAAAGAAAACAACTCAGGAGGGAGGGCCAGTACCGAGGCCAGCAAGCAAGCTTTCCAAACGTTGTTGATCCTCAGAAGAAGCCTGGCTTTGGGGAGTACGCTCGTCAAGCCAGTCTTTTTATCGGCGACCCAGGGAAAAACCACAAGTTCATTGTGAATCGATATGTCGAGGAAGCTCTAAAGAATATGGCCAATCTTGAGGTCGTCGAAACCTCCAGTATCACAGAGTATGCAAAATCTTCCATGGTACCAATTTTCAGGCTAACATAATCCAGATCTATCTCCAAGAGTCTGGCAAGCCAAAACAATCTGAGAGCCTTGAATGTTTCTGCCGGTAACTTGGGAGAAAGCGAAGCCAAACCCCTAGCAAAAATCAAAGATCTCAAACACTTGGCCATTCATCTGCTCGGTTTTGCTAGCCCCAACTTCCGAAAAGATAATACTCCACTATCCTTGATTCTCAATTCTAGGACAACCCTTCGGAGCCTGGACATAGAGACTGGATCGTTCAGCTCTGTGTTCTTGGATGACTGGCCGAAAGGCAAGAGCCTTACCTCACTCAAATCATTCTCTCTTACTGGAGCCACCATCGACGAAGACTTTTTGAACTCTCTAGCAAATGCTGTCCACTTTGTTGCGCTAGAACAATTGAAGTTCGGCTATCTTTCACATGATCTCAAAATATTGTTTGAGTATCTCAGCGATGTCTTCTCGAAGGCCCGAGATAATCAAAAGGCCGAAATAAAACTGCGCAATCTGGACATTGAGATGGGAAAGGAAACGTCTTTCGCGGTGCCCGAGGAGCAAGAAGCGCACGTTGACGCCAGAATCGATTTTATATCGTCTTTCGACACTTTGACTTGTCTGGAGCTGCATGATTACGGCCAATACCGTCAAGAGATCACGGTCAACCCTGGTCTGAAGAGCTCCCTAGTCAGAGCCATTCTCAAACATGAGAAACTGACCAAGCTGAAGATATCCTACAGGGGTGTCACAAGTGGCTACAAAATAACGTGCTTAGAGCCTGACACGGTCTCGACCTTGGTTGATAATCTTCCACAGTTGAAGGTGTTTGAGTTTATTCCAGAGCCGACCAAACTTGTAAGTACCAAAGCCCGTGAGCTAGGAAACATTGCTAATGCAGATACAGGCAGAGATTGCTAGAATAATATGTCGTGGCCGCAACCTGACAACCGCCACTCTTATCACAGGCGGCTCATGGTCGAGCCTCGCTGAAAATCAGGACAAGGGCTCAGAGTTCTTGCACTCAATCTTTGAGCAAGTTCTGAAGGGAGATGTGAACAACGACACGGGAGTCTTTAAATGGGAAGACCATAGCAAGATCACGCGCGTGGCCGTGGATTGGATGATATGGGAAGTTGGATCGAAACTCGGCAAGGCCAAAAAAGGAATGAAAAAGGCAAAGAAGATGAGCGTTGCAGTTGGAAAGCAGAAGCGAGAGGTTTTGTATCGTGATATCGCGGATTTCGTTCGCGTTCCCCTTCTCAGTGGGTTTGGGAGCAAGTGGGTGGACAAAGTAAAGAACGATATCAAATAATTTGCATAGTATAGCAGGACACTAGATCTCAATAAATCAGAAGCTCTTTGGGTATTTGGATTTGTCAACAGTTTGATGCTTCGGTAGTCCGAAGTTCATCAGTCAGCTACCGTCGGAGTTGATTTGAAGACGCGAAACGCCATCGCAATGCAGCAATATTTATAAGCAGATGACGTAACGAGGCACAACCATTATGCCACTTTGAATATTCATCTTTCTATTTAATTCTCACGGTATTTTCACAATCAGATATATCTTCTATCTATCAAATCATCCATTAAATACACCCAACCAATTATCACGATGTCATCCAAGTCCTTCTACGCTCTCATCGCTGGCGTCGGCCCTGGCACTGGTAAGCTTACCCCTCCTTTCAACTACTCCGGCTTACTGATCTTCAACCAGGTCGTTCCGTCGCTCTGCGATTTGCTCAAAAATATCCAGTCGTATTGCTTGCTCGTCGACCTGAGAGTTATGAGAGTACTCTTGCAGATGTTCAGAAGGCGGGCGGTAAGGCAATCGGAGTCTCGGCCGACGTTGGAGATGCTGCGTCCTTGAGGAAGGCTTTCGAGACTATCAACAAGGAATTGCCAGATAGCCAACTCGCAGCCGCTATTTACAACGTCGGAAGCGGCGGCTTTGCTAAGAAGCCTTTCTTGGAGCTGACAGAGAATGATCTGAATGCCAGCATCGATGGATCCATGTAAGTTGTCCCGCCGAACCGAAGCTGCACTCAACTGACGACACAAGCCGAGCATTCTTCAATTTTGCACAAGCTACTATCCCTCATCTTATTGAAGCAGTACAAGGCTCTCACTATCCTCCAACTCTAATCCTCACCGGTGCCACAGCTTCTATCAAGGGTTCCGCACAGTTCAGCACCTTCGCAGCTGGAAAATGGGGCCAACGCGCAATGCACCAGTCCCTTGCGCGTGAATTTGGACCAAAGGGCGTCCATATAGCCCATGCTGTGATTGACGGAGTGATAGATATCCCTCGTACCAAGCAATGGGCTGCTAATGACGGCGCCGAGGATGGAAAGATTAGTCCTGATGCGGTAAATTGATCAGCGTATTTGGCATGAAAGTTACTAATGGAAGATGTAGATTGCTGAAGCTTATTGGAATCTTCATACCCAACATCGCTCTGCGTTTACCCAGGAGATTGATATCCGACCCTACATTGAGAAGTGGTAGAAACTACGTCGACAACCTCATTATAATGGTTGGTCATTCTTGGACGCACAGAAGTTCCATATGGTCGGAAGGCTTGACTTTCAATGGTCTATAACATAGCTTAGTCAGTGTTCTTAGAATTGGAATGAATGTCAATTTGTAATTACATCCATGATCTTATCCACGGCTATATCTCGCCCTTTGGCCGTCAACCACGCATCAACAAGCCGACCCCGCATTTGTCGCCAGTACAAGTTGACATCACCTCTATTTAACCCGTTCCATGACTTCAGTTTGAGCACTTGAATAAAAGAACCATCAACTGTTTAATCATGCCTTTCTACGAAGTCCACCACTCTTGTCCTCTCACACAGCACCAACGTCAAAACTTGGCAACCGCAATTACGAGGCTTCACTGCGAAGCTTTCAAGACTCCAGCATTCTTGGTCCACGTACGCTTCCTCGCAGAAGACAACACCAACAACACTTACTTCGTCGCTGGAAAGTCTCACCCTCTAACATCAAATCGCATCTCTGGAAACGTTCGCACGTCTGCGGCCCGATCGAAAGCAGATTTCGATGATCTCGGTGCGAAGATTGAAGCAGCTTGGTACGAAACGCTCCAAGTCACGTCTCCGCCGGAGAAGTCAACTTGGAGCAAAGAAGATGAGGAGACTAGGCTGATTATGGTGAAGTTCGTACCTCTGGTCACGATTCGTGAGGGGGGAATGGCTGCCCCTCAAGCGGGAGAAGAAGAAGCGTGGCTCAAGGAGCAGCTGCCTCATATCGAGGGTATGGCTAACAAAGGCGTTGGAGACTTCATTGACTTCTGGAATGAAATCAAAGGGAACAAGGTTCAGTGAGCCAATGTGGCAAACATAAAAGTTTCTTGAAGAGTCGGATATGATGAGATTCGTGGTGAATAAACGTGATTTGGATCTGTCCGACAATGTCCTATTTATGCATCAGGCAATACAAGAATCAATATGGATAGCCATAGCAGTATCTAGGAAACTCAAGGAGAATATTACTACACCAAACATGTGTTACTGTTTGCTTTCCTCCAGAATGTCATCTTTAAATCACTCCGAGTGGTTACCGTGGCTGGTTGTGACTGGGTGCCTGTCTGAAACAGTGAAACGGCTGACGACTATAATCGGTGACGACAGCCATTGCCTAGCGAGTGGAGTGTTTGGGCTGGGAAGTATCGCAAAGCATATCCGAGCAGCTGCGAAGTTACAATACGAGATCTCCGCGAGGCCAGGTTTGAGGGCTGAACCTAATATAGTTGGTGGCGGAATCACTAGTCTTTGACGTGAGTTCAGTGCCTGATTTCCTGGCTCGGTATCCGTTATTGGTGGGTTCTCGAGCGGATATGACGGCAATATGCTGACGGACTTGTTTCTGGTACTATCTCGAGTGTTAAGTATAAGTAGCGCTGGGTCTCGCTCTTGTTTATCTGACCTCCAACGACAATAACTAATCTACGAATCCAAGCAAAGCAAACTACTTCACAAACTATGTCTCGCCTGGAATTACGCTGGGAAGGGGAATCGGATTGGTGGCTAGATGGACCTTATGGTTCAGTCATGTTCGATTCTGAAACAGCTGTAGACTCGTTCGTCCGAACGATGTCCCAAGGTACTGATGCTTTGAAAGATCATCTACTTTCTGGCGTTGCGTTTTCGTGCACAGAGTCGGGAAATGTCGAAGCAGTAAACTTGTTTTTCGCTTTATGGCTTGAACCAGCAAACGAGCTTACTGTTTCTGGCGCCATTACCTCTTTTCTTGCACAGGATCAGGGCGCAGAGGATATCATGAGCTGCCTTGCTCAAGCGGGACGTTGGCTGACTGAAGTTGCTCACCCGGAAAGTAAGTAATGAATATCTGAGTTGAGACTGTCACTAATTACCCAAAGGTGTCGCCTACTATGTCAAAGCAAACGCACTTCGCGCGGCCAAGCCTGCAGACAAAGCCGGCCCTCCTCCTCCCCCTGAGCGAAGGCGATCCAGCTACGACACGCTCAAATCAATCGTAGACGGTAAGAATCTTTTACCTCATCACAACCCGCGAAAACATATAGTAACCGTAGATCCAGATCCAAAGATGTTCGAAGCGGCCATTCAAGCATTGAAAGAGCATGGAGCCAAACCCAAAGTTGCTCCGTCTGCCGATCTAAAACCTCAGGATTCCAATGAGATAGATGCCACATATATCCTTACCTGGTGGAACCAAACCGGTGGCGACCTTCTCACTCTCCACGACGCTAAAGTGCAGCCGTCTTGGATCTTGTCTGTAAGGGCTATGCCAGACAAACATTTCCGTACTGGCTCAACATCTCTAGCATGGTTCTTTACAAATGGGGCCTGGGCACAGGGCGAGATGGATGGATACTGTATCTGGTATGCGCCCAATGGCTCCTGGTTCGGAGTCAACATTCATTGTCCCGTACAGTTCTTGGGTATTGGCACTGCCCCTTATTACGAGGTCGCTTGGTCTGAGTGGGGGAAGGAGACGTTTTTCAAACCTGTTGATGAGCCCTTCATGTCTTTTGATTTCCCTCGCTCTCTTGGATATGATATTCAGATCAAGCCTCAGAGTGGACATTCCAGTATCATTGTTGATGTAATCGTTAACATGACTTCATAAAACTCCAGTAATACGGATGTTGGTTATTTGAAGGCTGGCACGTTATGTTCAGTGAATTTGTGACATATCATTTATCAAGCTTCTGTTCAACCGTAGCTATCATATGACCGCTCGCAATTCGCCCGTGATACTATGGAATGCTTTGACGATCATGAAGGACCAGTACAATATAATCGGCCTCTGGAAAGGAAGTCATATCCAGATTGCTTCGTTGGATAAACCTTCAAGTGCATTGAGATCTCTGTTGCGTAATCAAGATAAAAATGCCAGCAAGGTTAGACCCCCCACAGTCACGTCAACAGGGATCAGGACGCATGAAAAGGGGCGCCTTGCCAAGAATGGTAGGCGGGGAATGATGGCAAATCTCCAATGCTACCAAATCTTGACAAATTTCTGGGATACAGTATGACGGAATCCCCTATCAATCTGTACAGTATTCTTAATTGACCTTCTTGTCGCTCTTTAAACCGATGTAATTGTTTTATTTCTTGATTGTATTCCTTTACCCTTCGTCGCTTGCAGATATTCCTCTCAATGGTCGCTCAATTGCACTCAACGCTGAGCTTCAATTGAGCACGTCGCCAACTTGGTGAGCATCGAGAATATGTCTCATCACTTCCATGTTGGCGCTGCTACCGGGCAGCATCTTCTTGATCCAATGTCGCAGGGAATTGGTATCATGAGAGATGTTGTCTCGCGCTGGTCAGAACTCGATATCACACAGATCGGGTCGCTCATTGCCATTGCCGGAACAGTACCTACAGCTTGGAGATTTCTGCATCGCATATGGTATGAAGTCTACGGTACGATACGGCGTTTCTTTCTCGCATCAGTGACCATTCCCGGTGGCGATCCTCTCAACAGAAGTGTTGTTAAATGGATTCTAGCTAACCGGGAACGACACTATCGCTCATTTCATGGACGCACCGATATCGGGCAGAATGGAGATCGCGCCGCAGCCCTTAAAAAGACAAAGCATTCTATCCAGTATTCACCCCATTGGAACACCAGATGGCTATTTTATGAGGGAAACCTTTTTCTTGTGACACGCAGAATCGACGACTTCAGCTCTTCCTTATCAGATCCTAGTTATGACGGGATCGGAGGAGAAGAGATCACTGTGAGCTGCTTTGGCTGGTCGGCTGAGCCGATCAAGACCTTTATCGAATCATGTCGAGAGTACTCAGATCGGCAAACACAGTTTTTCGTGATTATCTACGCTCGAGATCGCTATGGTTTATCATGGAAACCAAAGGCACGGAAGCCCATTCGACATTTAGAGACCGTTCACTTCGACAAGGAGACGAAACAAGAGCTTCTTGGCGATATTCGAAATTATCTTGATCCCAAGACACAGAAGAGATATCAGAGTCGCAGCATGCCTTATAGAAGAGGTTATCTTTTTTACGGACCCCCTGGAACTGGAAAGTCATCGCTGTCAGTTGCAATCGCCGGCGAGTTTGGACTGGATCTTTATGAAGTCAAGATTCCCAGTGTGGCCACGGATGCAGATCTGGAGCAAATGTTTCAGGAAATTCCTCCACGTTGTGTCGTCTTGCTCGAAGACATTGATGCGGTCTGGACGGATCGTTCAAATTCAGATAATGGGCAAGAAGGAAGTTCTGCACCCAATTGCACTCTTTCAGGGCTTTTGAATGTATTGGATGGCGTCGGTTCGGTTGAAGGACGCATCATTATCATGACCACCAATCATCCCGAGCAGCTGGATAGCGCATTGGTCCGACCGGGACGAGTCGATATGAAGGTTCTCCTGGGCAACATCAATCGGGAGTCAGCCGAAGAGATGTTCATCCGCATGTTTTCTCCCGATCTCGGATGCACCTCGCATCTCGATATTGATGAGATCAAGAAGCTTGCTGTGGAATTTGGGAAAGAAATTCCTGACGATACGTTCACGCCATCATTATTGCAGGGCTTCTTTCAGTTGCACTTGGAGAGCCCTCAAGAGGCTGTTTCAAGTATAGGAGCTTGGGTGAAGAGGGAGCTCGAGAAGAGTTCGGACAAGGAGTTTGAGCTTATTACTGGCAAGAGAAAGCTATAGTGTTAACTTAATTTGTATATTATGTACTGTACATCATGGGCTTGTACAATAGGGATGCCTTCTCTGACAATTTATCCATCCCATTCCTGGGGTTCGATAGAGGGTACTCTGGTTTCGGTATGGCCCTTTGATGTCTGGCTGTCGACAAAGTCAGATTGACTCGTTCAAATGGCTTCTCGCTGCATTAAGGTCTGGGGAAATGAGGATATCCTAACAGTATTGAAGACCAGCGTCGCTGTAACATGGCGCAGCATCAGCAGCTGACGATGATCTTGCTGTTCTCGCAGCGTTAGCGTCAGAGGCGGGTCGATCGCATCGCTCCATTGATACCCTTTTGGGATAAGATCATCACTTGGAGACAGGGCTGAAGATTGGAGCAGCAAAATTGCAGGGGAACAATAAGACCGTCTTAAGACCAATTGGGGAAGATTCACGCGATCAACTGTACAATAAAATGCCCCGGTGGCTGTGCAACAGTGAGACTGATCAATCAAGTGCTGTCTAGTGACATATTCGCCGTAGAATTGTTCTCGAAGGATGCTCTAATGGGGTGCCTGGGGCTCAGACCTGGTTTCGGAGCGAGGAAGCTGACGACAAACGTCACTCTAGGCTGCATCAAGCCACGGATCCTATGTATATAAGTGCGTGTCGTTTCCTGGCTGGGATCTATCAATCGTCTCATCATAACAAACACTGCTACAGAGAAAAAGCTTTTACTACGAGCTGTCTATTTCTATAAACCACAACTGCATTCCCAGCTTCCATTACCAAACGAAACAAACTTCTTATCTACTTCAGGGCTTCAGAATTAGCAAACAAGTCGCTCATCAACATAAAGCACCACAATGTGTATACCACTCTTCAGAAAGAAGAAACATGATCTGGTGTACGATTACCATCCACAACCAGCCATGGGCTACTCAAAGAAACACGGCTATCACAACTACGGATACCACTACGGCGGCAAGAAGTCGCGTAAAAATGGCCGTCACTACGCCTCAGCTGCCGGTGATTTAGCTGGAGCTTGGGCCGATTACAGCGGAGGAGGTCATCATGGAGGAGGTCATTGTGATGGCGGTGGTGGGGGCGGCGGTGCAGATGGTGGAGGTGGAGGAGGTTGTTCATAAACTGATGTAACATTAGGCTTTGGAGTTTCATGATTGAAACCTTGTAGGATACCAAGATACTGGCCTGGCGAGAGACATTAGATTTGTACAGTATTGTACTTTATTAGACCAGCACAACAACCTGGGAAGCGTTCGCAATTTAATCATATGCCTTACTTTGATATGCACCGTCTTTCAGCTGTAGATCATACCATCTGGTGGCTCTGGCATGTAGGGAGTGGCCAGGTATATGCACCAGGTGCATGATTATTACGCTAGAAACGTCCTGGGTAAGTAGCTGCGATCGCAGCTTGGCTGCTGGGCCTTGCTGTTCAGTGGAATAAGCTGACTGCTGCGACCTCGAATCGAAGCTATGGACTTATACTTGCCAAAGCTCTTGGCAAAACAGTGAGACTGGTATTTAAGAATGGCCTAAAGTGCGGATACTCGGTGCTCAAGACTATCATTAAAATTCTTGTGTTGCTTTGCAAACACAAGTGGCAAAGTCATCGGACAACAAACGTATCGGGCCAACACAACAGAACTTTGAATGCCACAATATTCACACATCTTTCATACAAGTAAATATACGAGCGAAGCTATTCACCGTCCTTTATAACAATGTGTCTTCCGTTCTTTAGGCGAAAAAGAGATGAGGATGATTACTACGCAAACAACTACAATACTGCCAACAACGTCAATCAGGGAGCTGCGTACATTCGACTTCTTGGCGCTGGTCATCACTTCGTTGGAGACTGGGGTCAGGGCGGTAATAGTGTTGGGGGCGAAGGCGGAGGCGGGGATGCCGGTGCAGGATGCGACAGCTACGGCTGTGATAGTGGGGGCGGAGGAGATAGCGGCGGAGGAGGCTATGGAGGTGACGGGGGAGGTGGAGGATGCTGATGAGAATATCCGAATAGGAGTCTTAGGCTCGACTCGTTGAACGCAGTTAAAACCTTTGACCTCACAGTAGGCTTCTACGATACGACTCGCAAATGCCGTGCGAAACAAGCTCATCGCAGTCTACCATTGCCTTTGTAGCCACTAGTTAGAGCTTCGTTGAGAGTACCTGGTTGAGTATAATATGTGTCTAAAGTTACACGATTTCATGAATAGATTTTGGAGGAAACATTAGGCTTTCTAATTATCCATTTACTTTCACCGTCAAGTCCTTATGGTAAAAACAGTAGACAAGTTTGTTTGGTTTCTAGATAAGCCTGTTTTGCATCTGTTGGGGGCCAGTCGATCATTACTCCACGACCTCACATTCTGGCCAAGATCTTCTGCATGTAGGCTGACAGCATCAGAGGCCAGCTTAAACCAGAAACGCAATAACCGATAGTTATGTTTGCTGCCGCATGATTTAACACCACTTACGGCTGCGCAGCCTTTTTGATTGACCAACTATCACTCGCTCGTCTCCCATAATTAGTCCATGAGCCTGGACGGTTTCAGCAATTGTGATGCCTAGAGCTATTTGACAAGGTTGTGAGAGGTCAGAAGAGGCCTCAGCCCCCAGCGCTGCCTAAAGCTCAGCCCTGGCTTCAAGCAGGGATGACGCGCACAGTCACGTCATCGCTAATGTTGATCGTATGTTGTCGCCAGATATGATATATCAGAGGATGTATATAATGGCAATGAGTATCCCATTGGCCACTTCAATGAATAGCTGGCCGCAAAATTCCATTGCAGACTATCAGTGATCTAAAGCATCATCAATCACTCGGATTTATATCGCATCATTAAAGCAACACCCTCCATCATTAAGCACAAACAAAGCGATCTATATTCAAAACGAACCTAGAACGATGTGTATGGCATTCTCTACCAGGCTCCAAGATCCTGTTGATCCACCTCCACGCTACCACAAGAACTATCACAGCGAGCACCCAGTCTCCAGCAGCAGTGCGTATGCTCAGCAGAGAGACCAAGCACGCACGAACAAAATCAATGAAATGAACGCCGCCAGCAAAGAGGCGCGTGCCAGAAACAAGAGACAAAAGACATCGTTCGTGTTTCGTAACCACGGTGGTGGAGGGAGTGCACATCATCATCATCATCATGGGGGCATTGCTGGAGCGGTTGCTGGCGGTGCTGCGTGGGGAGGAGGTGGCGGTTCTGGTGGTTTCTGATGGCGTTTACATATTAATTCACGTGGTGCATCTGCCCCATGGCCACTTCAATGACTGACGTAAGAGTCGTTGCGGTGTTGAACTTTATAGTTCACGGGATTCGAATGAAGTAGTCTGGCAGGATGCTTCATCACATTGGACCGAGTCTCCCCACCACGAGTCAATTCATGGAAGATACCACTCCGGTATCGTAGATTTCTCATTTAATTACATTTTTAAACTGTAATCGCATACACATATCTCTACCTTGATGTTTCTTAACCCTCTAATTCTCTGTGACGACACTCTTGGCTCCTCCGTCAATAGCAGCCCATGCCTTGGTCAGAAATTCTTCAGGCTGGGTAAACTCATACTCGGGCAAAAGTTTGTTCCACTCGTCGGATACCTTCAAAGCACCATGCTTGATTCCTAGAAGGAAGCACTTGATCATATCTGCAGCAATCTTCTCTCGCATCTCAACTGGAATCGATGGGTGTTCGGGAAGCGGAAGCCATGAAGCTTCGACCGCACCAGCTTCGAGGTCCTCGCTCTTTAAGTACTCGATCTTGAACTTTTGACCTGTGTAATTGATTAGTATCGTATCCGGGTTATGCTCTATTTTTCTCTGGGCTGTTCGTACCTCGGATCTTCTCGCCGAGAGCAACAAGCTCATTCATCGTAATGTCTGTGCCCTTCACACCGCTGACAACCGGCCACTCTCCTTCGTATTCGACAGCTAGAGCAGTTACTTTTGCTGCATCTTGGGCTGTTGTGAGCGTTATTATCGCTTCACCATCGTCAATCAGGAGGCCCCGGCATCCATGAAAGTTGACCGGCGTTTCAAAAAGGTTGACGTGCTTCGAAGACTTATATGGGTAGGTCATGTAATTGGTGAATAGTCCAAACTGGAATAGCGTGTATTCAATAACCTTCAGCTAAGCGTTAGTGAGTTTTATGTGTTGCTAGATAGAGTGCGGCACCTTTTTGTCCTTGTTCAGCTCTGCGAGGTACTCGCGTGCAGACTTCTTGAAGTCGTACCAGGGAAAGTAATCCAGGTTAGACCTGTTAGCTGTTAGCCATACGCCAGTCAATGGATCGTTTTGACCTACGACGCCCATTCACTTGGTGCAAAGCGCTTCACGCCCGCTCGGACTGCCGCATCGATCAACTTCTCCTGTGGCCTAGCAGCTGTATCACCAGGGGCGACAGACATGAAAGATAGAACTGTATGTACGCCCTCTAGCATCTTTGTAAGTTCTTCAACATTGTCGTATTTCGTCTTGAACCACTTCGCCGCAGGGGCAATTTCTATTTCTGGCGCATCCTAAGATGTTAGTCAAGAAGTGCTACTCCGGGAACATCGCATACCTTTCGAGACAGAATGATTATCTCATGTTTGTCTCTAGCGACGAGGGCATCCATGACCTCTTGGCCGACATCTAGAAATCGGTCAATAACCTCTGTCGCAAATCGAGGATAAATAAGACTTACTGCCAGCTCCTCCTGCAATTGCGATTTTGACCATTTTGAACCCAACTTGTATGCTTTATTGACACTGGATGATACACAAACCTTGAACATCCGATTAACAATTATCTATTCCGTCTCTTATATACTCTCTTGAACCCTGAACTTCCGCCAATCCGTAGGGTCGCCGCGTTCGTCCGCCGACATGGTGAACGGCCTGGTCTTTATTCCCGGTGCTTATCTCCGTCTTACCGTTTCAACACATGACAAATCCACCTCAAAAGCTCCGGGAAATCGGCGGACGAATGCCCGGCAGAATCCTTCGACGGTCACCTTTTGTCTCTCACTCCTTACGCTGTCATACTTTGCCATTCTCCTCATCTTATCCTACAATTCTATCATGGGAGAACACATATCATTGGACGAGCAGGACCCATTGCCTGATTCCGCTTCGGCGGACAATTCCGCGCCAGTCCCAAAACGTCGGAAGCTGCGCAAGGGAACAGTCTCTTGCTGGGAGTGTAAACGGCGGAAAGCGAAATGCATCTTCTCCGATGATCTCGGTATTTGTGACTCATGCAAGAGGCGTGGTACAGACTGTGTCAGTCAGGAATCTGAGAAGCCACCTGAAGTTGGAAGCAATAAGCACATCGTGGATCGGCTTGGGGAGGTTGAAGCCTTGGTACAGCATCTTCTCAAAAATGCACAATCCGACAGGCCACTACGAAATGGTCTGGTTTCGCCGTCGAGCTCGGTATCGAGAAGACGAAGTGAGGATGGTTATAGACGTTCAAAGTCACCGGCAGTCGTTAACACCAATGCCGCCTCAACGGATGATACTTCCCTCTCAGTATGTCAAGTTAGAAGGCACGACAAAAGTATGATACTCACAAATGGTAGATCCACCCCATAGAACTTACACCACCGTCCGAGATATCACCGCCGTCTCACATCCCCGATGATCTAGGACGCTACGATGCTGTGTACCAAGCCCTGATATCTGCTTGGCCCAGCGTAGAAGACATGGAAATAATCATGAGCGTCCCGGTAGAGTCCTCACAAATCATCAGAGCAATGACATGTGCACCACCAAAGGAACGCGGCTCAAGGCTCCCATCTCCGTCCAGCTTACTTCGCTTGCCCTCACGTGGAGCTCATCCTGTCCTCGTCGCTAGGAAAATGCTCGTGCTCGCCACCTTTCTCCAAGGTACTCTCATCTCATCAGAGAAGCACCTTGAAAAACTCAGCACAAGCTACGAGAACATAATGGCACAAATTGTCAAAGTCGCGCATGATCATGTCACCTGCAACGATGATCTAGTTTCGTCACTCGAAGGCATAGAATGCATCATGCTCGAGGCTCTCTATGAGAATTACGCAGGCAATCTTCGCCGATCGTGGCTTGCGGCGCGCCGTGCTGTCATGATAGCCCAGGTTTTGGGTCTCAACAAGGGCATTATTCCATCTTCAGTAAGAGGAGCTACCGTTGAACCAGACGATTTATGGTTCCGCGTGATCAACCTCGACAGATATCTTTGTTTGATGCTAGGTCTGCCACAAAGCGCACCTGACGAACCAGTTAACAACCTCGATCCGCTTGACTCTTACTCTGCAAATCGGAAGATGCAACATCTCTGCTCAATTGCCTGCGCCCGTCTACTGAGCAGAAGAGCATCTGGTGTTTTTGATCAATCACTCACAAGAGAGATCGACAAGTTGTTGCGAGATGCATGTACATCTATGCCGGCCCAGTGGTGGATCATGCCCAATTTGTCTTCCCACTATGACCTCGCCGATAAAATCCGCGAGACTCTTCGTTTCAACGATCATTTCATGCAGTATCACCTTCTCTTACAGCTCCATATGCCCTATCTATTGAAGGTCGATGGGGGAGAAGAGTGGAAGTACAACAAGTTGACAGCTGTAACAGCAAGTCGAGAGATCCTAACGCGTTTCGTCTCCATTCGCTCAATTCCTCAGTCACGATACCACTGCCGCGGAACAGATTTAATCGCTTTCATGTCATGTACAGCCTTAACTATCGCTCACATTCTTTGCGATGAACGCCACAAGCGGATTGAGGAGCAGGGCTTTCACTTTCTCACACAACAGCGGTTGAGTGACCGTGGGCTTATTGAGCAGATACTAAAAATAGCACAAGACGGGGTGCGTAGAACGAGCGATGACATTTCCAAGAGATTAATGACCCTACTACACTATCTTCTGGCGATCGAGGATAACGTGACAGCTGGGGTACGTTATAGTGTTTCTTTTGCCGAAGAGTCGGTGAAGGATGGGAATTTGGGTCATCATGTCGAAGCCAGTAACGATGGGACAGCTCTCGACATTTACCTGCCCAATCTACCCGTGATTGAAATTATGAGGCGAGATCCCTATGGAACAGAAAAGCCAGCTATCACTCTAGAAGTTCCTTGGGGCAACATAGCATTGGACCGGTCCGGGCTAGGGAATGCCTCAGGAGATGGCCATTTGGCTGATCCTATACCTTCTTCATCAACAGATGAAGGAGAAGGTGTTGGAGCAGAAGTAGATGGCCCGTCTTCTCTACAAGATATCCCAGTGGCAGATTCATGGACATTAGAGGGTTTGGATATGAGCTTTCTTGATAATTGGGTGGAAGGGCCAGTGTTTGTCTGAATGGCTGGTGATGCATCCAATAGATTTCCCTATTCCATGAACCTGTGCGTGTCCACCTAGCTATGTCGCTTTAGCTTCATAAGTCCATGACCCTTCATACCTACCCAGACCTCGGTTATGCTAATTGCTTTCCGCCTCAAGTGCTCTCACTTTCCTGCATACCTGGCCAAGAAGTTGTTGTATCTCTCATAAAAATGAACGCTTTGCGATGTTTGGGGAAGTACGACGGGGAACCAATGTGGCAGCCCAGCATAGCAGTGAAGTTCCACGTCAACGCCGTCTTTCTTGAGGGCATCAGCGTAGGCGAAAGAATCATCTCGAAGGACATCCGTTCCACCACATTGAATAACTAAACCCTGTTAGCCTAAGCATGCAAACCTTTGGAAGCTCTTACGTGTTGGAGGGAGCCCCTTGAACGATTCCGAAAGGAGGGGAGAGTGTCTGTAGTCTGGTTTCGCCTTAGGGACATGAGCATCTAAGACCGTCTCCATGTTTATTGTGCTCAGGACAGCGTCGCGTTGTGGTTTTGGACATAGCTGCCGTATTCATATTTATCCGTGGGGAAGAATTTGGGATGACACGTTGATGGAAAATGCAACACCTGGGCTATAAGTCCGGTCACACCGTCTCTGACGCAGTCTAGAGCGAGCGAAGCTGCCTGCAAGGTTGTCAGATTGTTGACCATAGGTAAAATAAAGGGGAGGATTCACGAGTTGGCCGCCAGCGGAGCCTCCACTAATTATGATTTTCTCTGGGTCAACTCCCAATTTGTCTGCGTTCTTCTTGCACTGGAATTGGTCAGCTGACTACCTCCAACGAGTTTTATACTATCAACTCACCCAGATGAGCCCGTCGTAACAATCGTTGATTGGTGTTGGGAAGGGATGCTCTGGGGCTCTGGATCCGTTAGCAACCCTTCCGTATATCTTTTAGAGATGAGTACTCACGTCCTATAATCGACACTTACGACGATAATGCCGGTGTTAGTCGCAGCATATACGTTGTCAACACCGTCGACTTCATGACGGCCAAGACACCAGCCTTACAAGTGTCAGCTAAGCTCATCGATCGGCTTGGTCCATACACATACCACCACCATGCATTCGATACATCAAAACAGCGTTGTTCTTAGCATCAGGTGACTTGTAAAGTTTGAGCTCAATCATGATTCCGTCACGAGTAGGAATGTCGATCAGCTCTGTGACAACACTTTTGTAGCGATCAGGCCCCCCAGGCGGCATCACTGCGTCTGCATCACCCGCGACTGCGCGGACACTTGGAAAGTCGGGAAGGGAAAAAAGCACTTCATATGTCTTTCGGATGGAAGGTTCTACTTGTTTGTATTCGGGACTGTTCTTCGAAAGATGGCCATATCTGGGAAGAGGCGTGAAAGGCGCGTTGAGGTCGAAGTAATCGTAGGTAGTTTTCATGTAACCCATTGTGACTGTAGAGGATGATCCTCGTTGGTGGTGCAGTCGTGAAGGACTATGGGTTTGAGATAGGTTGAATAGGTTATAGAATACCTATTGGTCGTAGCGTTCCATGTTCTATGGTATTCCCTTCTTGAAGGGATTTTCTGGCTTTATAAGGACTTGTCTGCCATTTCTTTCTTATACCTCCAGTCTCCGCGGGCCCGAAAGCCCGTTCAATGTTCATTGACAGTAAATGATTCATCGCTGCCGTAGCCTATTATGGTTTAGTGTAGACTCAAACCTGTGAGCCAATTACATCAGGTTGAGTAGACCAAGTTAGGGAACGACATTGTTATAGACGGTGTTTGGCAGAGAATCAATGTACCTCTTAACTAACGGTGACATTGCACAACACGATGCAAAATAAGAGTTCAATGAATCATTCTGACAATCTGGTCGTGGCCTTCCTCCTACATAGTTACTTTTCTCATTCTTTTTTTCAGACTATTACCGTAGCTAATGACATTTTCCTGTGATCCAGAGCGGTGACTTTGGTAAGAAGTCCAGAAGACGGAGCTCTGTCTCCACTCCACTGTGGCCTTGGGTACGCTGCCTACCGACCTACCCTGGGTCACTAGTAATATGTACTTCAAATCTGTGGCTAGGAGGACAATTAATAAAGCAGTAAAGCCAGTATAGTTTCTCAAGTACTTCATTCATGATACAAGTTATGTTAGCAATCAAATTATCTCCTGCTCTGCTTGAGTGGACGCGCTCTTTTCTCCGGGTTCAAGTTTAAACACCAAACTTAGGCTGCTGACGCTGCCACGAGCGGTACCTTGACCATGATCAGTAGCAAAGAAGGAATACGCGACACGTCATGGACACTGCTTTCTGCCCCTCGTTTCTCAAGCTTCATCTGTGAACGCTCAAGAGGCCAGCTGGCACCGTGAATTCTGGACTTCGGCCCCAAGTTTAGGGCAGGCCCTTGAGAGAGCGCAAGTACTAGATACTTTGGCAGCCCCATCTCCCAACGGCAAAACGCCGCGATCTACTAGAGCACAAAGTAGAAGTGACTTGGCTCGATCGCTGGGCTTGCCATTGGACCAGGCCGCCCAATGTCCAGGGTCACAGCGAATTGGATGGCCCGAGGTCCCTGAGGAGGCTCACCAAGCATCGCTACAGCCTAGACTTCAACAATTGCACCGTAACAAGGTACGGAGGCCCAGATGTCTGTCGATTCCTCATTGACCGCAATTGAAATAACCCATCAGACCAACTCTATTCGCTTCTCTATTGTACCGAATCGAGCCACCCTCCCCAATTGACTCGAGTCGCGACATTATCCCTCCGATTACGACAATTTAACGCCATGGTACGATGCGATGCGACGCGACGCCGAGAATCCACGCGAAGTCTCAATTGATGTACCGAGTAGAATAGCAACATCAATGGCTTCCATTCATAGCCGTGCCATGCTTCACTGGTTTATTCCTCGAGACAGCGACTTCGCTTTCTTGCCACAGTCATCACTCACTGGATGGAATCTATCCATCAATGCGTGTGCATGTGTATGGTTCCAAGCAGACCAGACAATAAACCAGACCTGGTGACCTTGCGCCCTGGCCATAGTCGCATCCCAATGCGAAGTCGCGCGACTCCTCGACTTCACGATCTGTTTCTTCCGACTAACGATGTCACAAGCCTCTTGCACCACACCAACATTGTAAATGAATAATGTCCACAGTCTGTGGTGGTCCAAAGCTACAGCACTGTAGTGGCCCGGAGTGGGATAATTGAAGCATGTTGTCTTGGCCAATCATTAGCGTCGGAAGTTAGCAAAGCGCGATTGCTGCCTACTTCGTCTGACATGCGTCGTCGTGCTCTAAATTCACGATCACCTCCCTCATCCGATACGTTTACGTATAGTGATCTTGCCATTGACATGGTGTATTGATCTCGGTGTCAAAATGCCTAAATTTGCGAATACCGCAGACGAATACAATTTCGTTGACCATCAAGATACTGCGCTGAGCCCCGAGACCGTTGCTGAGCTGAGAGAATGGCTCCAGCCCACCGACTACCTCGCCGAAAGCTCAGAGTATCGTCGTCATCTGTTATCCCAGGCTCCAGGGACTGGACTCTGGATATGCGAAACAGAAGAGTATCGCAAATGGCACGATTCTTCCGATCATGGCAGTCTCTGGATCAAAGGCGTGCCTGGCGCCGGCAAGTCTGTAATGGCAGCCAGTATGATTCAGCATCTGCGAATGACTGAGAATTGTCCTGTTCTATTCTTCTTCTTCAGAAACATCGTCGCTGCAAATTTCTCTCCACGTGCCTTGATCCAAGATTGGCTTGCTCAATTGCTGCCCCATTCTCCCAAGCTGCAGTTTGCTCTTCAATCGCGACTCGAGGACAGCTTAGATGACACGTCGGACAATGAGCTCATTGAACTCTTCCTTGATGGCGTATCGTATGTGCCCAAACTATACTGTGTTGGTGATGCGCTCGATGAGATGTCGACCGATAGCACGCCAATCTTGGAGAGGCTCAACGGTCTTGCGACTCATCGATCTAGAACATTGAAGTTGCTCATGACCAGCAGACCGTCTCGGACCTTGCAAAGCACGCTCCGAGATTCATCCATCGTTCACATTAGCCTGCAGCAGCGCCTTGTGGATGTCGACATCCATTCATATCTCAATCATCGATTTGACAATGCCTCAACATTGGAGCATCATCGTGAGGCGAAAAAGGATCTCATCAACATGGTTGCCGGGAAATCGCAAGGCCTATTCCTCTACGCCAAGCTGACTATGGACTAAGTTGAAGATTCCCTTCGGTCCGGTGCAGCTCTCAACATTGAAGATCTCGAGGCATTGCTTCCAGTAGGTCTGGAGCAGACGTACACAAGCATGCTGAAAAAGCAACGGGGAGAGCCTGGAGTTACTACAGATGTTCAAGTGTTAATCCTTGAGGCTGTCATTCATGCATCGCGTCCCCTTCGATTGAATGAACTGGCGAGCCTCTTGAAGTGCGTTCGCCCTGACATCACCCAGCCCAGCGCCTTCAAAAGTTTGATCGCAACTAGCTGTGGGCCACTGATCGAGATCCTCGAGGATGAGACTTTGCAGGTCATCCATCACTCTTTCACGGAATTCCTACGTGGAGATACTCGCAGCGCCTCCACTGTTGGCGCATCTGATTTCCCAATCATCGACTCTCTTCAGGCACACAAGCATATGGCCATGAACTGCCTTATTTATCTGCAGTCCGGATCACTGCTACTGGACAGCGAGCAGCCCAACAACTCAGCTGTCGATCCGTCGGTGACATTCGAAACACCCAGACACAAAGTCGACCGCGACGCGCGGTATTACAGGCGTGAACACCTTGGTATTCGAGACGAACATGATGCTTTCGAGTACCGATCAGCTCGCCTACAATATCCATTCCTCAGCTATGCGGTTGAGAATTGGCCATACCATGCCTCAAACTACGACGTGGATGATAGCAAATTCTTCAACACCATCATGGAATTTCTGAACTCTGGGACCCTTTCGTTTCTGCGATGGCTTGTCCTGGAATGGGGATCAACATCAAGCGACAAAGGATCGCCAAAGGGGATCCCTACGGGTCTTCACATTGCAGCCTTTGCAGGACTAACTCAGTTCGCCTCTCAGCTCCTCAAGCAAGGCGTGTCAGTCTCGGCAGTTGATGCTCAAGAGCGGGTTCCATTGCATTGGGCAGCGACAAATGGTCACGATAAAGTCGCCGCGCTCCTCCTCCACAACGGGGCCAATCCCGATGCCGAAGACGGAAGAGGGCTAAAACCCATCCATCTCGCAACCTTCAAGAATTACGCCAAGGTCGTGACCGTCTTGCTTGAAGCAGGTGTCAAACCAAACACTATAAAAACAAGGGAAAACCGAACAGGGCGTCTCCTAGGTGGCGAAAGAATCACAAAAGGCGAATGCTCTATATACTATTCCAGTAGAGGAGGGCACACAGAGGTTATTATTGCTATGATGCCCTTCTGCGAGCTACAGATGCTAGAGCAGCTTCTGTGCCAATGCTGCCAGTTCAGTCGAGCAGATGCAGTTCAAGCAATCTTGGGCAACTCGCCTGTCTCGCCTAATGCAACCTACGAAGGGGCGACAGCATTGTATTTTGCTTGTGCCATACCCGATGTCAAGATTGTCGAGGAGCTCATTCGCGCAGGTGCAGATGTCAATATGGTATCCCAATGGCAATCGAGACGACGGATGAATGGCCCACGCCCTCAGAAGCGGGAAGATGCAACACCACTGCATCGCCTGGTAGAGGTCTGGGAAGAGAAGAATGATTCCGATAGCAAAAAGGTTCTAACAATGTTGCTGAAAGCTGGTGCTGACCTTGAACGGTTTGATGGCCGTGGAAAAACTCCCTTGGCCATTTCAGCGCAAGATCCCCGATATTCTGGCGAAAGGGGGAATCATTTACTGGCCCTGAAGGCCTTGGTAAGAGCTGGCGCCAATGTCAAGGTCATGGGCCAGCCCCCGAATGCGGACACAATACTGCACCAAGTTCTTGAACACAGCAGGGACTTAGAAGTTATTAAGCTTCTGGTGGAACACGGGTGTGACCCGATGCAGAAAAACGAGTCTGGACACACAGCTCTGCATAGAGCTGTATCCGAGACGGGCTCCTACAAGCCAGACACCGACTCCAGAAGGATGGATATCGTGAAATATCTCCTCAACCAAGGTGCCGATCCTTGTGGAAAGGATAGGTATGGAAGAACACCACTCGGCATTGCGATGTCCGGAGAATCGGATATATTTGAAGCCTTGTTCGAGAGGGCAACCGACAAGTCCGCGACGGAAAAGTGCTGGTTCAATCTTTCAGAGATAAGCAATGCAGACAGGTTCACCCATTATCTTGAACTTCTACTTGCTGCAGGGATCGATATGGAGATGGTGGATTCAAATGGCAACACTCTCTATTTGAATTGTGTAAGAGGAGGTAAGGAACGATTGCGTATCCTGAAAGATCATGGTGCACGGACAGATGCCACAGACTCCAATGGGAACAACGCATTACATCGTCTCTGCTTCTACGGAGCGCGGCGTACAGAGGAAATGGAAATGTCCATAGAGGAAGGCATTGACCCTCTTGCCACCAATGACAACGGAGACACGCTTTTACATCTTGTCGCAAAAGAGTATGACGGTACAAGAGAATCTGCTGGTCTTCTTGGTTGGCTACTCAGTCTTGGTATTCCAGTCAACGCTGTCAACAATCAGGGTGCCACTCCTGTACATGTGTTCCAAACCCGCAGACGTACTGGGAGTACCTTGCTTGACAACAAGCGCATTCACTTCCTGGATGTCTTGAACCGGAACGGTGAGGTCGACTTGCAGATCCGTGATAACGATGGGCTGTCACCGCTTCATCTGGCAGCCATGACATCAGAAGTTGAATTGGCCGAGCTCAAGAAACTCGGGCTTGATTTCAACTATCTAACTTCTGACTTACAAAACGTCCTTCATCTGGCATGCCGAGCTCGTAAAACCGGCATTGTTGCACAGATTCTGGAAACCGTCCCCAATATATATATGAACCAACAAGACCAATTTGGTAGAACGCCACTTCATTATGCCTGCAGTTCTGGCGACCCCGAGATTGTTGCCTGGCTTTTACGCTACGGGGCTTCAACCTACATCAAAGCAAACGATGACTCTTCTGTCTTGCATGCCTGTGCGGATATCAGAATTGAGCAGAGCATATGGAACCTCCAAGCACGAGAGTCCCCATGGCTGCGAAGGCCATGCGTTGACCGATTTCGGCCTCGTGCTGCTAACGACTATCCAAGAGACCCTTGGTATCAGGCTGAATACTCTACTCCTAAAGTTGATATTCAGAGACAGTCATCGCCAGGAGTTGCGACCATCATTGAAATGCTAGTTGAGCATGGTGTAGACCCTAGTTGGTTAGATGATCGTAATCGAACAGCCTTGGATTTGGCTCTCTTTGCGGGATGCCCTGATTTTGCGGAAATCTTTTCAGAGGACGAAGAACTGTTCAAAATGGCTACAGTACGACTAGAGAAGGAGAACGACAGTGCAAAGGTGGAAGAAAGACGGAGAGGCATCAAATTACAAATGCTTCTGATGTGTCCGAAATCTTGCTGGGAAGTCTTACGTCGAGATGAAGATGGGTTCAAGAGCCTCATGGACAAACCTCAAACCTTTCTTAGCCTCCTCTCCACCCAGGACGCTGCGAGATTAATGGATCAATGCGTTGAAACTGCACCATTGGCAACGGGAACTTACGAGTTACTCGAGCAAATTATGAGGCCGATTAGCTGCCAGACTTTCAATCACCTTTCTGCTATCGAGCATGCACCAGGACTCATCAAGTACTACAGCAACTATGAGAATGCAAAAGCAAGGCTCAAGAAAGAGATCCTCGAGGAACGGTGGCATCCGGAAACCCTTATGACTGCGCTAAGCCTGGCTTGCTCCCAAGAGGAGTCAAGCATGCTCACATTGCGGTTACTCGTTGAGAAATTGAAGGTTGATGTTAACGCTAATTTTGCGTTGTCAATTGGCGACAGATACGACAAACGCAGTGGCGTAACCCCGGGTGGAACGGCACTGCATGTCCTTGCCGAGGCGAATCAACACTGGCAGTTGGAAGGCTTAAGGTATCTGATCGAAAACGGAGCCAACGTTAATGCTTTGCGCAAAGATGGACAGACGCCACTTCATATTGCAGCTGGGGGGTTGGTCCATAAGAATCGCGATGTAAAAGGTCTAGCGAGGCTAGAAGCTGTTAAGATACTCCTTGACCATGGAGCTGACATCAACGCACTTGACAACTCCAAATTAACTCCCCTACATAAGGCATCGAATGCACCAGATGTCACAAAGGAACTGCTCAGTCGAGGCGCAGACGCAACCATTGGGAAGGAAAGCCCTTTGTTTGAAGCAATTTTCGACCAGAACCAGGAAGTATTGGAAGCACTCCTCAAGCACGGGTCGAGTCCTGACATACTGAGCGAAGCGAAGCACAGTCGGGACGTGCATTATAACCTGACCAAGTCACGCCACGTTTATCCTGTGCTTTGCGCTGCATTCGCTGAAAAGCTCAATACACAAGTTGCCAACTCAATACCCTTACTACGAATACTCATTGGGCGTGGAGCAAATCTCTATCTACCTCTGAACGATGATGAAACGCTAATTCATTTCCTCTTTGTGTACCCAAAATATGAGGTTATTGACGAGCTTCTGACACCGCCATGCGCCTCACAAATTGACTTCAACCATCGCAATCAACAGGGCCAGACTGTTCTTATGGCTGCTTGTAACTGGCGGGAAACATTGCCCGGGTTCTCTCATAGGCATTGGGAAAAGCTCCCTACGGGACCTCCTGTACGGATACTGGATCTTGGAGCCGATGCAACACTCGTTGACAATCTTGGTAAGACAGCGCTCCACCACCTGCTGAGTAACCCTGGCTTGCCTGATGACACCCTCATTGAGTTCATCAATCGAACAGAGGTCGCCCCGACCCTCTTTCAGGCAGACGAGGAAGGATACTTACCACTCCACTATGCTCTCCGACTATTGCGCCCTAGAGTCTGTGAAGCACTGCTCATGAAGGGGGCTGATCTGCTTCAACCCGACCCAGAGGGCCGCACAGCCCTCCACTATATAGCCTCGCAATGCCTTCTCAACACACGAGAACCTGGATCCCCAGGTCGACTGAACATCGAGCTTGGTGACGGCTACTTCAAGCAGTGTCATGTTCTATGGAAAAAGTTCATTGGCCAAGGAGGTTCTATCAATGTTACCGACAAAATTGGAAACACGCCTCTGCACACATATCTCTCTTCGGCCCCAAGTAACGGTTATGATTGTCACCCAGAATCATGTCATACTGACCACTTCATGATTCTGTTTCCGGAAGGTAGTGATGTTGATATTTTTGCGCTGAACAAATCAGGAGAGGGAGCGCTACACATGATTGCAGGGAGAGAGGATTTTTATGTTACGGTTGAGGGGCATGACAAGAAACTGTTTCTTTTGATGATGAACAAAGGTTTAGATCCACTGAAGGAGGATGAGAAAGGAAGAAGTGCGTTAGATATCGCGAGTGCTTGTGAGAAGGATGATATTGTCAGTTTGCTTGGGAGGAAGTAAGGGAAGTAATGAAAATACTAAGTACAAGCTCGAAGGTCCACATCTACTACTCTCCAATTTATTCCGTATACGGCAAAAAGTTTAAGCATGTCTAGCTTGCGACTTGTGCAGATTCTAAGACATATACGCGATAATCACTTCCTTACAGGGCTAGAGGGTTCCCGAACCTCCCCCTCTTTCAGCCAACATCACTCCTAATGGAATACATACGCGATTACTTTGGAGGAAAATCATTTTGCTGCCTATCATGAACTTTGTTATCTCACACGGGATTAGTAGCCGTGCCCCTCGGTCCGAGGCCCCGGCTTCGCCCAGGCTATAGTCGCACAATTGAGACATTTGGCACTAACAATCATGGAGTGGGGGGGGACGAAGCCGAGTACCTTCGGGATCTAAGTATCCGGTGCATGTCTCGTCGTGTACGACAGACCGATAGTACATATGCAACATGATTCGTCTGGCGTTTTCATTGACGTTAATCAAAGTGCGGGGGTTGTCGAGCTGAAAGCAGAGCAACAAGTATAAAAAGGTTGAATCAAACCCTATTTCTCACTGCTTCTTCTGTCAAGTCTCGTATTGCTCTTCATTATTCACCATGGCTACCAACGGAACAAAGTCTCACCCCATTGACCTCCAGGACAACTATGTCCAGATCATCAATGGCGAGAGCGCCCCTACCCAAAAGTCCCACCAGGGTATAAACCCAGCGACTCTTGAGAAGAAGCCCCCAGTCCCTGTCGCCACCCAGGATGATCTGAATCGAGCTGTTGACGCTGCAAGAAAGGCTTACAAGTCTTGGTCAAAGGTTCCCTGGGAGGAACGAAAGCAAAAGCTGTTTGCTTGGGCTGATGCAATTGAAGCTCAGAAGAAGGAATTTGCCGACCTTCTTGTCTCTGAGCAGGGCAAACCTGTAAGACTTTGGTGCTGAACTAAGAAGAAGGAGATCACTGACGGTTTAGATTGCTCAAGCTTCTGGTGAGGCTGAGGCTGCGATTGCCTGGGTCAGAGGCCAAGCTAGCATTGATCTTCCCGAAGAAGTCGTCGAGGATAGCGAGAGCCGCAAGATCATCACCAGATACACTCCTCTCGGTGTAGCCGCTGCTATTGTCCCATGGAACTTTCCCCTCATGTTGGCAGCCGCAAAGATTGCACCCGCTCTTGTCACAGGAAACGTCATCATCGTAAAGCCATCGCCCTTCACGCCCTATTGTGGCCTGAAGCTGGTTGAGCTGGCGCAGCAGTTCTTCCCTCCTGGGGTTGTTCAGTCACTCAGTGGTGATGATAGCCTTGGACCTTGGATTACAAGCCATGAGGGTATTGATAAGATCAGCTTTACGGGTTCGACCAATACTGGAAAGTTGGTTATGCAGAGTGCTGCCAAAACACTCAAGCGAGTTACTCTTGAGCTGTAAGTATGAGTCTCAAGATGTGCTCATGGTAGCTAATGCTTAGCAGTGGTGGCAATGATGCTGCTGTTGTGTTCCCTGATGTGGATATAGAGAGCGTAGCTGAAAAGGTATGTTTTTGGCGGTCAAAAACAAGAATCAGCTTTTCTAATGACTAATAGGTCTCTACACTCGCATTCATGAACTCGGGCCAAATTTGCCTCAATGTGAAGCGAATCTATGTCCACGAATCCATCTACGAGAAGTTCCGCGATGCCGTAGTCAAGCACGTCAAGAACTACAAGCTCGGTGACGGCTCGTCTGAAGGAACCAGCCACGGTCCTGTCCAGAACGAAATGCAGTACAACAGAGTCAAGACATTCTTCGACGATATCGAGAAGCAAGGCTGGAAGGTCGCTACGGGTGGCAAGTTTGATCCTGCGCCTAAGGATGGTTATTACATCCAGCCTACTGTGATTGATAACCCTCCCGAGAACTCAAGAATCGTGGTTGAGGAGCCTTTTGGTAAGTTCCTGGCGACACATGGTCTTGGAATAGCCACTGACATAACAGGCCCTATCCTCCCTATCCTTTCATGGAAGGATGAAAATGAAGTCATCGAGCGTGCCAACGATACCAAGCTTGGTCTTGGAGCCTCTGTCTGGTCTGCAAACATTGAGACAGCAGAGCGGGTGGCTAAGCAACTCGAGGCGGGAACTGTCTGGGTCAATAACCATTTTGATATCACTCCCATGGCCCCCTTCGGTGGCCATAAGCAGTCTGGAATCGGTGCTGAGTGGGGTATCAACGGACTCAAGGGTTTCTGTAATGTGCAGAGTCTTTTTGTGAGCAAGCTGTAGGTACTAGACTATGTATCTCAATCCATTTTAATAAAGAGTAAGTGTATCTCGATGAGTTTCATCCATTGATTGTGCTAGTTGTTACTCAGTTCCTTACAGCTTGACCTCCACTACCTGTCCACCAGAGACTGCCAGGTTGTTCTGTCCAGAGGTAACAACATACAAAGTCTTTCCTTCGTTGCTAAATGTGGCATTACTAGGACTAGCAAGAAGTCACTCTACAAGAATAGTTTGTTTTCCTCCCTGCGTGATTTTGATAACCCTATCCTGCCAATAAACAACATACGCGTTTCCATGTCGGTCCATGGTAACATCATCTGGGGCATAAGGGTAACCCTTTTCAAGTTTGGTAAGAACCTCAAAATTGCCAAGTTTGTTTCCCATGTCATCGATATTGAGTCGATTAAAGGACTGATGAGCTGTGTTCGTGAAATACAGGTAGCCGTTGAGAATCTTGATTCTGTTTACACCAACAGGGAAGGGCCCTCCATGGACTGGTGCGAGTGCTTGGCCCTTGATAGCTACTCCGACATGTCCAGTAGTCGTATCGATACTTAGAATCTCAACCCTTTCGCATCGGCAGCAAGAATGATGTGTTTATGCCGCGGAAGAGCCAAGATACCGTTAACTGGCCTGTACTTAGACTTCTGAAAGACAGTGGGGATGGAGATATTACAGCCATCAAATTTGAGCAGGGAAAGGTTCATGGTGTTGTTCTGATACATTCCGTCAAAGACGTCTCCGGTAACAGCAAACACATCTTAGCCAAACTCGGCGATACCAGATAGTGCGTTAACTCCCTCGATTTTGAAAACAGGGCCGGGCGCAGTAGGCGTAGCGTTTGCAGAGAAAGAATATACCTTTTATTCTCCGATTGTGGGCATGAGAAGATCCCCATTGGAACGAAGGGCGACATTTTCGATCCAAGTGTTTGAAATTCAGACAAATTCAAGGACCTTTGGTTCGGGTGAAGAGTAGTAAAAGGCTTCAGCACTGATGACAGCGATGAGGCTTGCTGCGAGTGCATAGCGCATGATGGATTCGATGTTATACTAAATATTCTGACTTGAAATGGTAAATGCACACTGAGCTTGATATTCTTAGACTCAATTTTTGAGGGTACGAAAAGCTATCGACGATGGAATGTGAGTATTCGTGTGACCCGTGAATATCTTGACCAACATCTGCTCGCCTGTTGATCAGCCTCGGATTTAAGCTCCTTAATTACACGATCGTATGCCACGTTTTATGAGGGTGAAGTGAACTATTGGAATCATTTATACAAGGTTCCAGAGTCACGACTAGTGGTGATTGGTCAGACTTGCTAACTCCATTGCCCAATTTCGTGTTCACAGCTTCTTGATTGGTCAAAGATATTCTTTGAAACAAGAGCTCTTCCTTCTGCGGACTGCCAAGGATAACAAACTGGCCCTGTTCCGCGATTCATAGACAATAGGTTTCATCCTTGGCCGTCTCTTTGTGTTGGCCGCTGTAATGTCTCTAGGGGGATGTTACTGCTGACATGAAACTCTGGTTGTGAGATGTTTGCCATAAATCATTCCAGTCTGATAAGCAGCCGTCCCACCGCAGGTTGTGAGTGCCTTCAAAGCTAGACGTATTCACTTAAAGAGATATAGAAAGACTCAAAGAATATTACAATGTTGAAAGAGAGACTTTCATCGTTCAACTGGACTATGAAAGATGATTCACTGTCTGATAGTAATATGGCATTCTCATTCACTAGGGTAGCCAGTTCATAAACATATAAAAACTCAAAATTGGGCATCTCGTTTTCCCATAATCTCAAAGCCCGTATCCAGAAACTGACTATTAAACTCATCTTACAGTCTCTTACGAGCCAATCCTTGACGACAGGGTTGAGCTGAAGACCTTGAACTATTAAGATGTTGGAAGTCATAAGCCTGTAACTCCGAGAACGATCATCTCATCACTCAACTTTAGAGTACTCTCGTGAACTATACTGATATTACCTCCTTAGGAAAAGAAGTCTGAGAAGCAGAGCCCTCTACAGTAGCGAGCGGAGAGCTTACCGGATCTGTCCAAGCGGCCCTTACTATTACACGAAAAACACCAGTTCAGGCAACGATTTGCGCTTCTCATACCTGGAGAACGAGGCGGAGAGGGCGTTTCAGGAGCTCAACATTGAACGAGATGGCCCCCACGCCTGTCAATATACCGTTCTTGGGCAAACAGATGAAATGAGGGCCATGCAAGCATAAGGTTGGCTGTTGATGAAAGCAGCAGCGAAGGCTTAGGCCATACTGCGTTGGTAGGAGAAGAGTAATAGAAAGCAAAAACGCGATAGTTCTTAAGTGTCTTTTTTGGAAGTAGGTAACCAAATTGACTTCTTTTCCATAACGAAAGCTGTGTTTCAGTCCGTGGATATACCCGAGCCCTCAGAGAGCAAGAAAATCAGATCAGAGTGCGAATATAAACTATGGTTGAAGTTCCTTTTAGTTATCTGCACTAATTGATGGGCTCCGCCAGAATAACTAGTCTAAAGGCTCGTTGTAATCCATTAATTGACACATTGTTTTGATCTCTCAGAAATCAGGTGGCAAGCTTTCTTGCCTCCTATTGTAAGGGAAGAATATCGCCTTTTGGCTCTTATCGATAGGTGGTAGCGGATAAACATTCTATTGACTTGTGAGGCGCACGTAGAGCCCTTGAAAAACTTCTTGATCACACCAAAGTCTATTTCTCTGCAATGGCTCAATGACCAGAGATAGTCACGGCATGCTATATGATGTCCGTATCTGCGATAACAGCTAATATGATGGCCATTTGTGACAGCAAAACGGTTCTGCTCTCGTGGAGTTCATGGAAAACAATGGAAGGTATTGGTTTGATTAATTGTTTCGATTTGTCTTGTGGAGAGATCAAGGTTTGTCGCCGAATCTAAATCTATCGGCATCTTCTCACCACGAGGACAGCCTGTCTTTGACAATCTCGGATACTTTGTTGATATGGGGTGATTCTTAATTCACCATCACAGGGAAAGTCCCATTCGTCCACAGCTGCATACAATCGTCCATCGCGGTCAGCCCGATCCTTGTTGACGTGTTTCTGGGATAGGATTCAGTGTTTTGATTCGATAGCGAGGACAGTGAAGCAAATTATACCTTGCAATCGATTGGTTACGATTATACAACTTTCTCATTGGAACTTTCCTGAGTTCCCCTCTTGGTCATCCAGGGGAGATGTCATTCGCTACTCCTGAACAGGGATAAATAAGTCAAAATCAAAGTTCTTGTAATAAACTTAAGAGAAGACATATGACCTTGGAGAGTGTCTATAAATGAATAGTAGCCTGCCTGATCAGTGGACCCATTGCATTATCCTCATCGAACAATCCCCTCTTCCTCGTACAGACAGAGACACCAACATCTCAACACGAAATCATCCTTAACCCCTTCTTCCAGTGCATCTCAACTATTAAACAAGAATTCTCAGCATTGCATTCCAGTCTTTCCAATGTGTTGCGGAGGGTTTAGGAGCAAAGGGGGTGGCGGAGGTGGCGGCGGCGGCGGCGGCGGCGGCGGCGGGATAGCTGGGTCTGCGAACAAGTCCGGAAGCCCGAGATGGTCTCCTAAATTCAAGGAAACTAGCAAAGGGTCACTCGAAAAGCTCAGAAAGTCGGTGAAGGCTGACTTGGCCGCGAATCCTGTCAAGGTGAACAGGCCCTCACGGCCTGTTCACTACCCGCAATACAAAAAACCTGCGGAAACAAAGCAGGAAAAGTTCTTTCGTGCCCGGGAAACGGCTCACAGAAAATCGAAGTCGCGAAAATCGAGATTCTGATGGATCGGTGGCACTCTGTGGGAGCTAGCCACGTGCACCTTTTCCGAATACACAAATCACACAAAAGAAAGGAAAGAATTCTTATGTTCTCGGCTGACAGTGGTATTAATGGGACACCGCTATTTCCTCTCTTTGGTTATTGACTTATTTTGAAAGTTCAGAAGGCAAAGGAAAGGTTTAGATACCTGATTGGGTAGGGCAGTTGCCCGAGGGCTGGGACCCGACGATTTACTCCTAGGTTTAGGGTCTTCTGGACTTTGGGCAACTAATTGAATATGAACCCAGTCTTTACATCTGATTCATCGCGACAGACCAAGACTAAGTCGCGAAACGCCGTGTCCCTTGACAAGTGACTGATGTTGGATAATTCTGGACGCCGTATAGTAATCCTAAAAAGATTGGGCCTTGTTCAGAGCTAAGAAGCAGCTCTGAGGCCCGATTCAAAAGTCCAAAATCTTGCACAAATGTTAACCAAAGTGAAATTGGTCAACGGTTGCCATCGAGTGTCCATATACAGAGAGACGCAAATGTGTCTCGTCACGACCTTTGAATGCCGTGATGTCGCAGTAATAAGTAAATGGCTGACTCTGTTATGTGCTGTGAGTGACCATTGTAGATATAGACAAAGCGTCAAAGCGAGGGCTCGCTGCATAAGCCATGAGGGACGCCTTCCACAGGTCGTCTCCGAGTTCTTGACAGTTATGGGGATGACTGCCGCCAACAAGGTTAAGCTTTAGGCTGCGAACACAGATAATGAATGATAAAACGATATTTTCAAAGTGAGTATTTTGGCCAGATTCCATCCACCATACACTGAACCTTATTAACTCAAATAAGCCCTGCTTCATTACTCCCAATACACGTAAGTCTATCGATCGATTTCTATACAAAATGCATACCGCAACTGTTCAATGGAACCCAGTGTCAAACTAGGCCCCATATAACCTCATTGGCGCTTCGGTGGCTCTAATACACAGAATCATAATCATTATAAGCATGCCACTTCCTCTCAAGGTCTGGCGGCATCCCACAGAACCCAACCGGCTGTTCAACTCCAGGACCTGGTTCCTCAGGTCGATACATGATGTCCTTCAGCTTACCGGTGCCGCGCAGCAATTGGATCATTTTCAGGGTTTTAGTATCCTTGTTTTCCGGGTGCAAGAGATGGCTGATGTAGTAGCTGAGGGAGTATACGATACCTTCTCGGTCCGTGTATAGATACCGCTCGTTACGCCGCGCATCGTGCGCTACATCAAGAGCTTCTAGCATAGCTTGCAGCGCATTTGGTCCTTCCTCTATGGCGAAATGTAGCACACTCCTTCGTCTATTTCGCCAAGCCAGATCCGTCTTTTTAGCAAGCAGCTGCATGGTCTTTACCCTCCGCTTCTCGAAAGTACCCTCAGCGTTGGCAACCCTACACCAAGGGCGTGCCTCAGAACGACACGCTACCACGAGAGGAATCATCATCCCAAATGCCTCGTGCTCGAGATCTGCGCTGTGCCATTGTAGCAGCCACCGGACAAATTCTGGCAGCGCGAGCAAAGCAGCCGTGTGTAGTGACCCATTGTTTACATCTTTACCACCACCTAGGGAAATGTAGGCTTTTAGGTTCCCTAGATAAAGAGCCGCATCGCTTAAGGGCAGGTCGGACGTCATGAGTTTCGTGGGATCTGGTGTTTTAGGTTTCTGACTTAGGTAGGAGAATGAACGCCCTGGAATAACAGACATTCTTATGTCTTTGCCATGTAATTTGAGGAGAGATTCGAGAACGGGGTTGCGTTTGGGGTCGAGCATACAGGCGAAAGCAGCTGATACCTGGGAGCTGGGTGTCGAGTACAACAAATTTGCTAATCATCGTCAGCGATGCAATCGATAACAGCAACTCAAGGGGTGCTTACCATCATCTCCCTTGGCGACGAGAGCTAGCAGGGTTCTGTTCGATATCTGCAAGTCCGATATGAGCCCCCAAAGCAAAGGTGTAACCGGCTCACGTTTCCACTGTTTGCATAACGATGCTGATTTCATCGTCCCTGCTGACACCCCGTAATGAAGCAGCGTTTGTACTAGAGTCCCTCCCTCGGGGAACTTGGCCATGGCCCTGTATAGGAGATTCGTGTCTTTAAGATGAGCTTTGCTTAATTCGGACATGCAAGTCTTCAGCCATATGACGACCTCCTTTTCTTTGGAGCAGTGCTCAATTAGAGCTAGAGTCACTGCGTCAACATTCGCATATTGACACATGATTCTGAGAGCGGCTTCATTTCCCACTTTGCAAGCTAGGACAAAACACTTGGCGCCGTCTGCACTTGGGACTGCTCCTCGTTCAAGTAGCAGTTTCATGGTATCCATGTCCGGAGCATTCTTCAACGTGTCGACAAGAGCTAGTGTGAGCTTTTCCTCGGTGATTTTGTGTTTGAGAAGACAAGTATATACCCTGACTCTGAACGCTGGCTTCATCGCCGTCCAGGTTCGTACCAGGTCGAACGCTGCAGCAGCAGTATTATCGTCCTTGATAGATTGGATGAGTATCTCGGTAATTTCAGCCGATTTGAGTTTGAAAGCCAATTTCAGAGGAAGGAATTCCTTCAACTTCACATCAGCACCATGTTTTAGTAACAGCTTTACTAGTCCCACGTCAGGTGTCCCCTCGTTAAGTGATATGATGAGCGCTGCCGAGGCAGTAGTAGTTGAAACCTTTCCAGTATTGAGAAGGGCATCGTAAATCCAGCGACGCCTCTCGACCGTCAAGGCGGAGGATACTGCTTGAGCAAAGCACTCATTGACAGTATTGGCGGGCTTCACTTCTTGAACTAGAAGTGTGAACAACTCTTTGCTACTTGAGGTGAAAGTCGCCTTGAGGTGAGCCTCCGTGACTTCTACGCCACGTTTGATGAGCATCAGTGGAACCAGCGTGGAGTCTCCATACTGCTCTACCATGGCACGCAATAGGCTGGAAGTTTCATCCTTCGTGAGACCTGGCTTGGCATCTAGTAACAACCCTAGGACAGATTCTTTCTGATCATCGTTTAACTTGGGCGATCTAAATGCCGCAATGCAAGCCGTGCTGATAGAATCCCCGCTTGGTTGACGTGAAAGAAGCATCTCTAAAATAGTCGTGGACCTTGAAGAGATCGCAGCCGCAATACCAAGGGATTTGGTGCTAACAAGTGGCTTGTGGGCAAGAAGGATCTTGAAGCCTCTGTCGTCTCCTGACTTCGATAAAGCTTCCAGTGTTTCGTCGTATAGCACTTCAGACTGACCAATTTCCGCGTCACCAGCCTTATCGAGGAGGAGTCTCATCATATCAAGCCTCGCTTCTCGAACCTTAGTCTTCTTTGTAGCTGTGAACCCAGTCTTGAGAGAATTGGTCGACATGTTAACGGAGAGCAAAGTCTTCAACAGCCGCACGTCGCTCTTCTCCACGGCAAACTGTATGATCACCCCTTTCTGAAGGTTTATATCAAGACCATGCTTCATAAGACATGGAACAATGGCTGCCATGTTTGGATGGCCTTCCAATAAGTTTGGTACCTCTGTAAAGTCTATCGCTGATCCATTCGATGCCTGCAGCACTAGCTCCAATGTCTGTGTCTTGGCAGTACTCACCTCAAGTAACGACGGAAGAAGTCCCTTGACGACAGCTTCATTTACTGGACAGGCTTTGCAAAGAACCTCGAGCCTAGCGTAATCGTTCAATGTAGCTGCGTAAGCATTGCCGTGGTTATAGTTCGCATCTGCACCATGCTTGAGCAGCAAACGAATGATATCCAATGTACGAGGGCTCTTGGACCCAGCAGCTACCAGAAGCGTCTTATCAAGTCCTACTCCCTTCACACCATTCTTGAGAAGGAACTGGATGATATCATGGGTGAGGGTCCCGCCGTCTTCTGCGATGCGCGAAAAAGCCTTTGGGAGGACTTCTGATATGGACGCCGGGTGGGGATAGGATTTCCAGAGAAGCTCTATCACTGTGAGAGATGCTCTGTGAATAGCGATGTGGATTACATTCAACGTGCCGTCTTTCCCATGCAGAGGGAGCTTATATTGGAGTATAATCTTGAGGAGCTTCAGATCGGGGTCTGGACATTGAATGATAAGACATAGTTGTTCAAGCAGGGCTTCTTTCCATACGCCTTTATCAGCGAGCATTTTGACAGCCATGCGTCGAATTGATGGATCTGTAATCTTCATTGCGTCTGATAGTGCAGGAGAAAGCTCCTCGTCACTGATATCTCCTTGTAGCAGGATCCTCAGCATCTCGACATCAGCAAAGCTGAGTGCCATTTGGATGGACTTGTACGTGATGGTTGCACCCATTTTCTGGAATGCATCGACAGTACGATGATGACTTTTGGAAATCGCTTCGATTAACCTTTGATCCAGTGATTGTCCTCCACAGTGTATGTGATTTGCACTCAACATACCCAGAAAACGAAGCATCACGTCCTCTGAAGCATCGAACCGGACAAGTGACAGGAGATTTGGAACGTCGTCTCTTCCTCTGAAGGCGGCAAGCATTATTCCGAGAATGGAAAAGTCCATTACGGATACAGCCTCTTCGATAGATGGGCGCACTCCGGCTTTGATCAGGAGGTTGATCATAGGGGTTCTTTTGGCCATGACGCTATTGGACATCTCCTGCCGAAGGGCGTGTACATCTCTCAGAAGATTTGCTTCATTCAGAAGGCAGTAGAGCCTATATCTTGTCTCGTAATCGGGGTTTCCTGATATGCGCTCGCATGCCTGTATGGCAACATTTTCATGCTCGGCTCCGTTTCCTGTTGTGCTTAAGAAAGATGCAATACTAAAGCTCTGAACGGGAAACATGGGAGGCATCATGGAGGTTCGAGTGGACAGGTATGAAAGAAGAACAGCGACGGCGCCAACATTGTTCGCATCGATGGCTTTGAGAAGATATTCCCCAGTTGCAATCTCTGGCCGATGATGGATGCATTGAAGCAGAATGCTTGTTTCGCATTTACCCAGGGGAGCCCCTTCGATATTTGCTTCCAGGGAATATTGCCAGTCCTCGACGTTCATACCCTTTGGAGCCGAAAGCAAAAGCTTTACAACATCGACATCGTTCTTGGCAACAAATGGTCGCACATAATCTTTGCAGATGGGTAAGATGCACGCTCCAAAGCTTAGAAGGAGCTCCATTGAGGGAATGCTGCGCTTGGCGAGCGCAATTACAAAGGCTTGATTCAACAGGATGGGCCCTGCGTTATAGTGGCACAGTAGATGGATATACGGTATGTTTTCCTGGCCCGTGACGGTACTCAGCCAATTAGACAATCCACTGTTTGAAGAAGTTGAGCGGCGAAAAATGCTGGATTGCCTCTTTTGTAGCTTGCTGTCTTTGAAGTGCTCCCACAGCTCATCCAGCGAGTCGACGTGTACAGAAGCAAGCACTGCGTGCGCTACTTGCACATCAGGCAATGGAGCCATACAAAGAAGGTCATTGAGAGCCTTTCCGACCTCATGTTTTGTAAAAGTCCATCTCTCTTCATTCAGCTTCAAGCTTCTTCGGCTCGGGACGCGCAAGAGATGTCTCTTCTGTTGGTCTGGTGGACGGTAGCCTGCATCGCTGGTTCGTGCTCTCACGAGGAACGCGCGTGCAGCACTGTGATGTTCAACGGTTGTTGAGGATTCATAGTCGATCGGCGAAGGAGCTTTGAGCGTCTCGATCGGGGAGGGAGGGGAGAGGCCGGCATAGCGAGAGAGGATATCGAGATTGGGAGTCAAGGTTGAGCCGACAGCGAGGCTTGAGAGAAACCCATTTTGGCTATCCATCCTCGAGCTGTTACATATCTAGTCACACAGGGTTGATGAATGGACAACTTTGCTGTAGTCTAGATAGGTACGCAGAGACACGAAGGTCATCTCGAAAATGAGAAAAAATGACTGAGTAGCAAAACTACAATCAGCTCGGCCACCAAAGCCAAAATCGAGTCTGCCTTCGAGTCTCAGTCCAGGGTCCGAGGCTTTCAGCTCGCGAAACGAACCAATGGCTCTGAAAGCAAGGCGCCAGGTGCTGCGAAAATAGCAAATGGCGAACCCCTCTTCAGCCGCACGCAGACAGCCCGTCTGATTTTCAACTTAGCCGCTGGGCTTTGCAGCCACCGGGTGATAATCCGCCTTAGCTGCAGAAATATGTAGGCTACGTGTCAGGCAGTCATAGAGCGTTGATGAAATAAGGCTCCGATGGGGAATTTGTTCTTCTTTTGTAATTTTTCAAGTAAACCTCGCCCCCTATAAATTGATTCAAATACTGAATACTCAGGTGTATTCACCAGATTCTTCCAATTCCATTGTTACCAATGACTGGTGTTTTGGAGCGATTTGCTGTTCGATAGATAGGAATCTCGTTCTAAACGACTGCTTTCATGAAATAAGGCTCGGGCTCCCATGGTCGCTTTGGCCCCCATGTCTGGATGTATGGGGGGCTTGCAGGTGGCTTGAAAATACAAGCAATCATCTCTTTTTTCAGGTTCATTGGTGCCCCCCGACTCTGAGTACACAGGCTGTGTCTGTGTCTAGATCGAGTGGCCATCTCGTCCGTCCCGTATATGATCATAAACCGATGGCGACTCACTTCAGTCCTGCTACTCCCTTAAACTATTCATCCATATTTACCATCCTCTGAGTGAATACTGCAACGTTCTTAATCACCATGGACCCACACAATCCATCTGCTTCGGTCAAGCGATCGGTCAAGTCCAACACTAAAAGCTCCAAAGACAGTATTGCCAGGCTTGCGGATGATCTTCTTCGTCAATCTCTTACACGCAAGCCTGACATTGCTGCACAAGAAGCATCAACGCTGAAGGCCAAGACTCCGCGTTCCTCAACAAGCATCACTCGCTCAAGCATATCAAAACCCAAAGGCTTCTCTGCAGCAGATGAATTGCTCCGTGCCTCTTTGCTTCGTGATGCTTCAGGTTCTGGACCAAGCGTGCCACCTTCCTATCGAACCCACAGCAATGTTCCATCCCCATCGTCAGTAAGCAGGGTCAAGGACAGCTCGACTACCTCTGCTGCCTACAGCAAGAGTCGACTATCAGCACTCAAGTCAGAGGTTGCGCGTGCCAACGCTGCAGCTCCAGCTTACTCCAAGTCTGACTTGTTCAAAATCTCCTGCTCCACTGATATACTCTTCCTTCTTGACACTACATACTCTATGAATAGTTACATAGAGACAGCAAAGAATCAGATCCGATCCATTGTCAAAGAGATCAAAGAGGTCTTCTTAAACGAGTCAAATGTACGCGTCGCGGTGGTTGGATACAAAGACCATGGCGACGAGCCCAACATAGAATTCCTCGACTTCACTACATCTGTCACGGAGGTGTACAACTTCTTGGCCAGCCTTCAGGCATCGGGTGGTGGAGATATCCCCGAGGATGTTCTTGGTGGTATACAGAAGGCTATCAATGCCTCGTGGATGCAGCAGACGAGATGCCTGGTCCACATCGCCGATGCCCCTCCTCATGGACATGCTCTACATGACTATGAGGAGAGTGATGATGACTACTACAGAACGGCCAGTGAACCCCATGGCCTCACACATGCAAATCTTCTCAGCCGCCTTGTCAAGCTCAAGGTCAACTATGCTCTTCTGCGAATCAACTCATCTACCGACCGGATGGCCCTGGAGTTTGGCAAGTCCTACGGCGGCGGCGGTTTCTCGGGGGCGGACGTCAAGCTCCATGAAAAGAACTCTTACAACATTGCGATTGAGGACTCGCTCATTTTGGCCAAGTCACGGGCCAAGAGAACAGCCACCAGTACTGGGCCCCTTTTCGAAGAACTCCAGCTCGGAACTGGATACACAGCCATCAAGCATTTAGTTGTCAGCACCGTCACGTCTTCAGTATCGCGTACAGCAAACCGCTTGACTCTGGCAATGAGGGGCGGGAGCCGCGGTGGCTCGCACATGTCCGGGCTCCCAGAGTTGACTGCGATCTTGGAAGATGGCAGTGTTGCCAGAAGTGTAACCAGCAAAAGCGTTGCTCTCGAGACCTCACCGCCGCGCTGGAACACTCCTGGCTGGCTAGACAAGAAGCTCACCACGGAGGGCTTTTGTCTGGACTTGAGCGTCCATGGAGCTGATACTCTGGATGCAATGTTGGACAACGACGAGAACATCAAGCTTGGACTTGTCAAGCTTGATATCAACGCACGTTCCAAACCTTTCGCCGAGGGATCTCTGCGCGTCGCCGCGTATGCTCGCCCAGCTGCAACCACGAGCAAATTCGTTCTCAAGTCATTCAAGAACACTGAACACAGGCTAGCGAATCTAATTGAGGAAATGCGAATGCAAGCACTTTGTAAAGCATTTGCGCTAGAGTTCAACGGGCTTGTCAAGTCTTCGCAGCCTATCGATTTTATAACGACGCTTTGTCTTCAGGACATGTCCCGTGGATCTAAGTCAGACGATAATTTGTCACTGGAGCCATTCATTGAAGGCGAATACATCAAGTACAACAGCAACGGCGCCTATGTCCTAGAAGACGACACCAACCCATTCAATGAGATTGCCCAAGCCTTCTCGCATTTTACTTTTGAGCGCTCCTGGGGCCATTTTCTTGTGACGGATCTTCAAGGTGTAGGCAACTCCTTCACTGATCCTGCAATCCAGACCAAGGATCCTGAACGCTTCAAACTCGGTGAGACAAACCTTGGTGAGGATGGGTTCAAGTTCTTCTTTGCCTTGCACGAATGCAAGGCGACTTGTCGTCAACTGGGGCTTCTGACGAACAAGGAAATGCTCATGGCCGGCAAACTCGCATTTAGGTCGAAATGGCCTGCTATGGATCCCACGGTTTGCTGTTCTAATAAGCTATGCCGCAAGATTATCCGACTTGCAACCGCTAACAAATCATCTGATTATCCTGAGCATAACTGGTGTGATGGGTGTTTCCCGCAGCTCAAGCTTAGTGAGGTGAAGGTGGCATGTGGAGGATCAAAACACAGTTTCCAAGTTTCCAAATTTTACCATGAGAGTCAAGGCGAGAAGACGCCGACTGTGTGTGAAGGGCATAGGGAGAAGGATGTGACTGTTACTAGTGTTGTTGGAGGTGGTCTGTGGGAGACTACCAAGTCGACTGAGAAGAAGGAGATCTTAGGCAGATTATGGTAGAGGTAGACTTCTAGGGTATTTTTCCAAAGAGAGTAATGCATTGATCCAATCTAGCATCATTGATGTGATGCCGCACAGAGATAATCATTCGTTAAACATGGCCACGGTTGCATCCGCCTCCGCAGCGTAAACAACCATTACAACTGATCCCCTTGGCCATTTCAGAACAGCGGGGTGCAGTCTTGGTGATGAACATCTCCCCAGTAGAGTCTCTGTAGCAAGAAAGTCGGCGTTCAGAGTTGAAAGCCTGGACCATCTCAGGCGCAGCACGTCGGACGAAGTCAGATTCAACCCACGAAGCTTCAGAGGCGCGATATCCTGTCCAATGAATCCAATGTTCCTCACGTTCACCACCGTTCGGAAGATAGAAAACGCGATAGCCGAGAATGCAAAATACGTGACGCTTTCCTATGCCGGTAGCATACTCTCGACTTCCAGAGAGCCGCCAGAAATTGATGACGGCTGGCTCGTTGATCTTTTGTACATTGTCCTCTCTGAGCAAGAAGGGCTGCATGTTGGGAAACCCGACTTCGAGGTAGACTATGTCCGGCTTCTCAACGTAGAAGTTGAGAATTCCAAGATCAGATGCAGCCTGAGTGTTTGGAAAAGGAAGACGATCATGACCTGGGATCCTTTGACGAGTGACGTTGAGAGACTCTTCATCTTCGTTTGTAGGCCTAAGAGATGGCCAAGGTATACCAGATCTCAAGAACGAATTCCCAAGGGAAGAGTTGAAGCGCGGGAAGTAGTCGCCTGCTGGATCATCAGTCTCCATTGACTGATATGAGGACTCCTTTCGAAGAGTTGGGTTGCTCGAGACACTGGGAACGTGTTTATCTAGAGGAGACACGATCGATTCGCGTCGACGATAGCCTGATATCCTAGTTAATATTGCTAAAACACTATAAATATAGCACACTATTTACCTTGTGAAGCCACAGAGAAGTCCCATTGCGCAAGAGTCGCCCTGATAGCGTCGGATGACATCGTGCCAGTGGTGATGGGTATCGAGATTGGGGTGAGGAAATGTTAGAGAGGCAACAACTCAGCCAGGATAGCCCACGGAGAATAGATGGCAGTTGGGAACTTTACTTCAAGAAGTAGGAACCTTGTATCATTAGTAGGCAAAGGAAGATGCTCCTCGTTAATCATGGCCGCTGCTTATGGTCCGAGCTGCTCGTGCAACAGTTTAAACTGTATGCTCAGCAATAACAAGAGTAGCCCTTTGGTATCATTGATACAGAATCTGCGGTGAGAATAGCGCTAAAGGTGAAACGCCAAACATTTGTTGATGTGCAGGTAGGCTTTGATGATCACGTAGCGCAAAGCCCCATGCGACAGCACATCAATGCAAGAGTTTATTAGACCACCAATAAGGCTAACCTTATCCGATCTCTTTTTCTTTAGACATCCTCAGGTATTCAAGCCCGGGATTCCTTCTCGGCTTGAACCGCTGCAACACCGCGTCGGCCATTCATTTTTTGAGAAAGGTTGGTAATCTCTTTTTCACAAGACGCGACTTCATCCTTGGCTGCTTCGTACCGAGCACGAGCATGGCCAAGACGCTCCCGAATATCCTTGAGATTCCGCTTCATCTGCCTAGTCTCCCGGTTGCGGTGACGAGGGTGTCTCTTGCACGCGGACTGCTGTGTTGAGGTGGTTGCCTTGGCACAGGGAGCTGTGCAAGGGCAAGGATGGTTAGTGTTTGAAATCTGACAGTTCATATTAGTGACTTACTAGTGTTTCGTGCTGATATGTTTGGCTTGAGCATGATGTTTGGGTGGCTGTACATGCTCGCTTGCTCATTATCGGGAGTATTGGCAGGGTAAAGACGCTTAGGCAGAGTATTGTGCCGCTCCGGGCGAGAGAGACATTTACCCATGATCTCTGGGCGGCTTTTTCTATTTTATTTTTTCATACACTCTAACTCGAATGCAAAATCAAAAAGGCAGTTGTCTCTTGATGGTTGAAAACGGAGTATGTGGTAGCGAGGTCGAAGGAGATGCCACATATCTTGGTACGACTTCCAACGCGTCACGTACGCGTTGTAACAATCTACACAAGATTAAGTCGGTAACCTGCTTGAGAGATCCTATCATTTCTGCTGTAGTTGTTTGAAGCACCCCCGAAAGCTGTGTCTGTCCGCGGCAAGCTGCACATTCTGGCCCACATTGAGCGGGCATTTCAGTGTTTGCCCCAAACACTGAGAGATGACTTCAGCTGCTATTCTCATCTCATGATTAAGATCTAATTCCTGTAAACAGTTTCGATGGTTTCCACCAGTTTTGTCACATATTAATAGGTAATTCAACAATCAACGGCGAAACCTATCATGCGTTCGCTACCTCTCCAGTGGCTGAGATATTGATCCAGTGTACAGCCAATAATCAAGAATGTCACAGAACCTTCAGCGTAGTCAGATGCATCATAGAGCACTTGCTGTGCCATGCGCCATACTAACGGCGGCGTCTGTCTTCAAGTTTGACTGTGCCCAATCAACGCCTCCACTTGAGATCTTGTGCAACTCTAACCCGTGTCTGTCCGGCCAAGTACCTTAAATCCGCCTGTGCTACAGGCATAAGAAGTCCATGAGAAATTAATCCCAGGGATTCAAAAAAAAAAAAAAAAAGTCCAGTATTAAGCGTTAATATCCACCCCTATTGTTCAATATCTCAACCACATCGGGCAGAAAAAGATACAACACATATCACAGATATCAATCAACTTCAAATATCTCTACAGTCAGAAACACAAACCAAGCCCTATGAGCGCCCTCTTCAGGCCATCGGCAATGTCTACAATCCAGGCCGCTATGGCCCAGCTTTTACCAGCCGAACGACAAGCTTGTGAAGGTAGAGAGTTGTTATCGCTCAACGCCGCTATCAGCCGAACGCTTCTCACTATAGAACCGGATTGTCAACTAGCTTTTGAACTACACAAGATGCAGATAAGCATCCGTCGTCATATTCTTGCCGCTCTCGTTGAAGAGGGGACAGCAGAAACAGCTCAAGGCTTGAATCAACATGGAACGTCTTTTGAGGATATCTTGCCTGATCCCGACACCATCATTCCGAGCATCGAGCAGGAACTACACTATGACTCTCCCGGACTATCCTCGCCTACAGTTGGTGGTACACCTGATGAGACGCCTGAGCAAAAGAGAGGTCCATCTGCACCAATCATGACTGAGTCAGGCGGCGCAAGTGACGAATCTCCGATGGCAAAGAAGCGACCCGCTGACAATGAATTCGATTCTGTCGCTAAGCGCCCCAAAACATGGCTTAGTGCAATTACGAGAGGTCTTTTTCCTTGAATTTGTTGTATTTGCACGAGCCTCAAGTCGGGCGGGTTGGTACCAAGGCCAGTGATTTCGATGCTTCATAACCTTGTATTTTTTTTCTAGGTTTAAGTACGTGATGAGCAGGAATATCGAGCGGGCAATAGAGGGCAAATGTTAGAAAGCCACCAGTTAGTTAACTATGATGTGCACTAGAATGGAATTAGGGTATCGACAGAGACAGTGGCAAGGGGATGCAATAAAACTTAGGACCTCTATCCTATGTGATAAAAAGCCTTAGGTAAACTTAGGTAAACTTAGGTAAACTTAAGTAAACTTAATATAATTTAGTAAAAATATAGAGGTTATTAAACTAAGTATTTTTAATGCCTTAGTTTAACGTTAGAAGTCTTCTTACACCCTGAGGAGTGGGTAGGCTAGTTTGTTGGTAATTTGCTTCCAAGACATCCCGTCCCTAATAATTTAAATACTATAATTGGATTGCACTAGTTTTTACAATAAATAAGCGTTAGAGTTTGCTATTATAATTAAAGCTATTTCTTACTATTATATTAAAGTTAAAGTATATTTTCTAACCTTATAATTAACTTATAAACCTAACTTTACTATTACCTTCTAATTACTTTAAACCCTTTTATAGTCTAACCTTTTTCTTAGCCCTAATTATACTAATATATATATTATTATAAAACTTTTTTTAGGTTAAGCTTTTCTTATATATTAGTATTCCTTAATAAATCTAATAGCTATATACTATATCTAAAAGTCTTTTTTAGCTAAATTACTATCTATATCTTAAAT